GGTGTGCTGTTAAAAATGCACTCAATAAGTGAAGGTGCATTCACACAGAACGGGATTTGGCGACCACCAACCAAAGTGATCATGCGAAACGATGAGATCCGTCACATGGTCCAGTTGATGAAGGATGTGTCCAGTAGTAAGAACCAGAGCAGTGTGACGCTCTGCTCAATGTTTCACTCCATGCCAGCTTCAACCGCTCAAGCAAACGTTCACCGGTAAAACGACATTTACTCAAATCCCACGATGACATGAAATTTCTTTATACCATACGTCTTTCTGTTTGTCATGAACTTCGTAAATATCTCATTACAGCGGGCGTATATAGCAGTTATGATTTAAATGGTACCTATAATTAAGTTAACGTGACTGGAGTGCCGAATTGCAGAGCTTATGCTGTTTTCTCACCGCTTTTGTTTTTATTTTGTTATTAAAAGGAAAGCATACATGTGGCCCATCTTGGAAAAATGAGTCGTAATGTGCATGGACTACAGTAATTACAAGCTACAGGCAAAACAGGTATAACATTTTCTGTGAATTTGAGGTGAATTTGAAGAAAGAAAAGAAATTAAGGCTTTTGATGAAAACATTCCAATTTTTCTCCATATAATGGACTTCAATGGGAACCAAACGGTTCAATGTCCAAAAGACAGTTTCAGTGCAAACTGTTCAAAGAGCTTTAAACGATTCCAGACGATGAATAAGGGTCTTATCAAGCGAAAAGTTCACTAATTTAATAAATAAATAGCAAAGTTTAAGTTTTATAAGCTCAAATGGTCGCCTTGCTCTGTTCTGTGATGCGTGTTCGTGACTCTCCTGTTTGAACTCGTTTATCAAAATGAACGAATCTTTTTTTTTGAGTCATTTGGTTCATTCAATGAACAAAATGAACCAATTGATTTGGAAAAATATTTGTTCATTTTGATGAATGAGTTTGAACGGGAGAGTCACGAACGCTCATCACAGAACAGAGCAAGGCGACCATTTGAGCTTATAAAACTTAAACATTGCTATTTATTTATTAAATGAGTGAACTTTTCGCTTGATAAGACCCTTATTCATCGTCTGGAATCATTTAAAGCCCTTTGAACAGTTTGCACTGAAACTGTCTTTTGGACCTTGAACCGTTTGGTTCCCATTGAAGTCCATTATATGGAGAAAAATCCTGGAATGTTTTCGTCAAAAACCTTAATTTCTTTTCAACTGATGAAAGACAGACATGGACATCTTGGATGACATGGGGGTGAGTAAATTATCAGCAAAAGTTTTTTTTAAGTCAACTACTCCTTTAAGGTATGGTTGCTAATGGTGATTTTGTTTTGGAACCTTCAGAAAACTTGATTTTTCTCAAAATTGACTGAGCAACACCAGTGTGAAGTCGATAGAGTCAGCAGTCATGTTTGGTCTGATTCCAACAAACCATGAAGGTTTTTTTAATAGGGAATGTGAAAATAAATTTGCACAAAATGTGCTCATTGCGACTCATTTTTCCAGCAGGTGTCACATACTCATATAAACGACACTCTCATCAGAGTGGACGTCATCTAGAGGTAGACCGATTAATCGGCCGATTTTTGGCATTTTTTAACATAATCGGCAAATATCCAAGTATATCAAGCCGATTATTAGGCAGGCGCATCTGTGGGCAGCCTAGTGTTGTCGTGGAACACGTGGTTGACGCTAGAGTCATTTTCCGAGTGAGCAGCAGAAATACGTTATTGTTAGAAGTATAAAAAATTTAATCATTTAAAGTTTTTTTTCTCCTTTTTTGTGATTATTAGGTTATGTCCATTTGTCTTTGTCCGTCAACAAACAAAACAAGCCAAAAATACATGTTTCAGGACATTTTTTGAGAGGATAAAATGTTTTTGTTGAGAAAGTTTGTCGATGTTAAGTAATTATCATTTCTTTTACATTTTATCTTTTAAATAGAGGTTAAAAACCAAGCAAATATCGGCCAAAATAAATCGGCAGCATTAATTGGCCGACCCGGATTTCAAAAGATCGTTATCGGCGTGAAAAAAAAAACATATCGGTCGACCTCTAACGGCATCGGTATGTTTGTTAACAATATGTTGCTTCAACAGTATTACAAACCTCTTTTTACTCCTAATATACTAATAGAACTTATCGCAAAATAAATCTTTGTTAACTTAGTTTCTCCACACACCCATTTGTATTTATGTACATAGTTTGCAACTTAATTAAAACAATACTTGAACTCAAATAACCTTAAAGCTATTGCTTATTTCACATAATCTCAAACTAACATATCACAAAGGGCATTCTGGGTTGAGCGAGCGGCCCTGAGCGTAATCTTCAGGAGGAAATGTTGCCGCTCTCCTCACATGCTCTAACAGTACAGCAACTTTCTGTGACCTCCAGCAATTTAATCAATGCATGTGAGCACTTACCAGGAGCAGCTTCGGACGCACGGCTGTTCGCTGTGGGACTGTTGGTGTAGTTGCTGTTAGGATGATGATGAACAGGAGAGTCGTTTCTAGGGAGAGATTGACTGTCTTCCTGAATTTCCTAAAGGGAGCGAAAATTTGTAGAGAATAGATTTTAGACAATTAACATACTTGATGTTAAGATGCTAATGGGGAGGCTTCACAAAAAACAGACATTTTTAAAGCATGGTGACCAACTTCCATATCCGTTCCATGTTGGACTCATGCTGACAAGAGGAAACTTGCCATGCAGTACAATAAAACAAGGTAAAGGAACTGGTAAAAGTAAAGGTAAAGTTCACTCAAAAAATGGTTTACTTCCTCTCAACTTACCCTCACATGCATGCATTCAAGTATATTCTTGTCATTTTCATCAAAATTAGCGTGACACATCATGACGCTCCACACCTGAATGCAAGCAAACTACACTACCGCTCAAAGGTTTTGGGTCTGTATAGTTTTTAGAGGTGGGAAATAAATAAATACGCATTAAACTGAACTATAGTGACAGTAAATCAGTGTTGGGTAAGTTACTCTAAAAAAGTAATTAATTACTAGTTACTAATTACCTCTTCAAGAGTGTAATTAGATTACTGGACTAATTACTCTCTCTAAAAAAGTATTTAATTACTTTCAAAATCCCATATCAATCTCAACCAGCTGAATAATACAAGGATAGACATGAATCTGTTTTAATTCTTTCAAATAAATACTATAAAATTGTATGAATTATCCTTAAACTGACCAAGGTGGAGAAGGTTACATCATAAAAACATACTTTTTAGCATCAGACAATATATTTTGATGTTAAACCCACTATTGTTTTATGTCTGATCTCATGAAATTTCACACTTTTTTCATACATATTTTACAATAATTCATACAAATTTGTACGAGTGCGATTTAGACACCTCATAAAATGCATACGAATCGCTGTGAGATCAGATTGATCTATACAGTATTTACCTCAATTACATCAGAAGTAACTGTAATTAAATTACAGATACATGATGAGTAATCCCTTACTTTACATTTGCAAGGGAAAAGTAATTAAATTACAGTAACTAATTACTTAGTAATTAGTTACACCCAACACTGCAGTAAATACACTGATAATGTTACAAAAGATTTGTATTTCAAATAAATGTTGTTCTTTTGAACTTTCTATTCATTGAAATATTACAAAGACAAAATTAAAATGCATCATGCTTTCCATAAAAATTCCATAAAAAACATCAAAAATCATCATATTAGAAAGATTTCTGAATGATCATTTGACACTGAAGACTGAAGGAATGATGCAGAAAATGCAGCTTCGCATCACAGAAATAAATTTTAAAATATGTAAAAAGAGCTAATTTACTTTAAATTGTAACAATATTAAAATTTTTACAGTCGTTTGGTAAAATAAATGCAGCTTTGGTGAGCATTAAAGACTTAATTCAAAAACTATTTAAAAAAAAAAACCTTAGTGGTGGTGTAAAATTGTGCATGTTTTAGACGGAAAACTGCAGAGACTTAAAGACATTGACAAAAAAAAAAAAAATGTGAGAAAACTACCCTGATCTAGAAAAAAAAAATATCTGTTGAATGACAAAAGGATAAAAGCAACCCTGACATATTTAGAAATATTCATAAGCCAAAGGCAATCCTGTCACACAGTACTAGTCAAGACAGATACGGAAACATGTGTCAATGTGAAGACTTGAGGCCACTTCTCAGACGACAAAGGAGCTACAGCTGTCACTATGTGGACGGCTAACCCAGAGGAGGAACACAGCAGACTTTATACTGTCATACAAACCACATGCTACAAACGCAAACTCAGTACTCACAGCCCAGACTCACTGGACGGACATGAAAGGTATTAGGATATCACCATATCAAAGTGTGCTTAAATGCATTCATACCGTACTATTCCACACGGCGGGGAAAAACAGATGAAAGCCTCGTTCTTTTGTTCCGACGTTAAGCCTCAGCTGGAGGACAGTCATTAGCGGGGATGATGGTTCTTTACACGTGGAAACGTCAGTCTTGTCATCTGCCTCCTGCTCGCTGTCTCAGGGATCATCAATGGACCAAACAACTGATTCCCAGGCTTTCTTTCTCCTCAGAGATAATATTTGTCATAAAAATGACTCTAAAACCCCCAATGCTGAGACGAAGCAACATCTTTCACTGTCTTTCACTGTGATCTGTGCCTTGACAACGGCTAACGTATGCATGTGTCTAACACACAAAAAATAGAGAGCTGGCAGGAAAATATCAAAAGGTACTTGAAGAATGATGGGACAGCAACTGCTAGAATCCAGACTAAAAATGAAAAGTCAATTTAAACAGTCGAAATTATTGATTTACATCTTCACCTCCCACCGGCTTCAACCGCTGCATCGTCCTTATTAGCGGGGCTTGTTAAAGAGACGATCACTATATTTCTCACATGGATTTAAACAAACCCCTGACCTATCTTGAAAAACTAGTACTAAATCTAATCTTGCATTTCAAATCATGTGGTTGGAGTAATAGGAGGAATTTTGCCTGGTGGATGATAAAATGCACCCACAAAATAAAAACAAACACCTAGCAACTGCATTGCAATGCCTTAAAGGGATAGTTCACTTTGAAATTCATTTTTGATATGTTTTAGCTTACCTCAAGGGCATCCAAGATGTAGGTGTCTTTGTTTCCGCAGTAGTTTCAATTTTGATATTTTTAGGTCAAACCGTTCGTGTCTGTCAGTCATATAATGGAGGTCTATGGTCACCACCTCAAAGCGCATGCACAGAGAAGTCCAAATTAAACATGATTTAATGACTCATAAATGTAAGTACACATTGATGGCCTGAGACAAAAAACGAGCGGTTTGTGTGAGAAAATGAACAGTATTTATATCGTTTTTACCTCTTGTAACCACAGCCACGTCCAAGTGATCTGAGGTAAAAATGATATAAATACTGTTCGTTTTCTCACACATACCGCTTGTTTCATGTCCAAGGCCATCAATGTGTCCTTACATTTACGAGTCATTAAATCATGTTTAATTTGGACTTCTCTGTGCATGCTCTTTGAGGTGGTGACCATAGACCTCCATTATATGACTGACAGAGAAGAACGGTTTGACCTAAAAAAATAAGGTAAGCTAAAACATACCAAAAATTAATTTCAAAGTGAACTATCCCTTTAAATGTCAAAGTATAGGTACTCCTTACATCAGTCAACAAGCCTATAACATGATCATATTGTCATTCATTGAAATATCATCCCATATCAACTCCCACAACAACACACACACCGAGAATCTCTCTGACATCTTCAAAGACTCTGTGCTGCACGTCTTAATCAGACAACAATGACGAGGGAGTTTGGGTCCACCGACAAAGACAAAGAGCCGACAAAACAAGACCCTAAACCCATGGATGTCTCCTCCCCTCTTCACACGGGCAGCAGTGAGGGTGAGCTGAGGTTAGGAACCCTCAGGGTAGCCCCGGGCAGCCTTTCATTAAAACCCCAAATTTGCCTTTCATTCATGGAACCCATGGCGTAATCTGATTAACTTGCTGAGCAAGAGGAGATCGAGCGAGGTAACGGGATTAGATATCAGACTGGGCGGGAAGAAACAGGAAGGAGAAGAACGACTGAGGAGGAACAAAGATGGAGGTTTCACATGAAATCATTGTGCTCTAAAGTAGTCTACTGTGCAATAGTTTGCTGTTTTTTGAAAGAAATGAATACTTTTATTCAACAAGGATGCTTTAAATGGATCAAAAGTGACAGTAAAGAGTTCATTAAATGCTGTTCTTTTAAACTTTCTATTCATTAAAGAATCCTGAAAATAAGGTGTCACGATTTCCTCAAAATCACTATTGTGCTGTTTTCAACATTGATAATAATTAGAATTGTTTCTTGAGCAGCAAATTCTGAAGGATCACGTGACACTGAAGACTGGAGTAATTCAGCTTTGGATCACAGGAATACATTACATTTTAAAATAATATGCAAATCATTGTAATATGCAATAATATGCAAATTCACAATATTACTGTATTTTTTATCTAAAATACATGCAGTCTTGGTGAGTATACGAGACTTCTTCGAAAAACAGTAAACAATCTTACTGACCACAAAATTTGGTACAGTAGCGATAATTACAAAAATTAATTACAAATAATTACAAAAAAGTGCTGTGCTGGTACCATTTGTATGAAAATTTACCTTTTTTATCTAGGATTAATCTAGTAACAAATCTTAACAAAGATCCATGATAATACCATGTTAATTGGTTATATATGAAGAGTTCAGATGCAAAAGCCTCTAAATGCCATTTAAAATTTTCTTCTTTAATGATAATTTTTATGAAACTTGTATATTTAAGTTCAATAATTTCACTTAAATAACAATTAATAGGTAATTATCATTGGCATTTAAGTGAAATTACTGAACTTAAATATACAAGTTTCATAAAAATCATCATTAAAGAAGAAAATTTCAAATGGCATTTAGAGGCTTTTGCATCTGAACTCTTCATATATATATATATATATATATATATATACAGTATATATATATATATATATATATATATACAGTATATAACCAATTAACATGGTATTATCATGGATCTTTGTTAAGATTTTTTGAGATGGTTCCTCAATAAGATGGTTCCTCGATTCAAGAAAAAAATACTGAAATCAAATTTAAAAAAAATATATATATATATATATATATATATATTTTTATTTATTTATTTATTATATTTATATATATATATATATATATATATTTTTTTTTTTTTATTTTTATTTCAGTATTTTTTTTTTTAATTGAGGAACCATCTCATTAAGTTTAGTCCATAAACACTGTTGATTCTCTAACCTCCCACTCGTTCTCTTATCACTCAACTCTGTCTGGGTGATTAATGGCATATTGATCGCTCCGTCTGCATGTGATTAATGAAGAATGCATCTCAGCGACATATCACCTTCTATTGAGCATCATTACCGCCCGCACCGATCACCATCTTTCTACCACTATATTGGGTTGAGGATAAGCTAACGTTCCCCAATAATACCCACCCAAAGTCAGTCAATAACTATTTGTCTTCATTTTCATTGGACGTTGATGAGAAGCTGTCGGAATAGATGAACCATGCCAGTTTAACCTTGGATACAAAGACTTTAAGTTCGAATCAAGTCATATTTGAATATTTCTAAGCATTTAGAAACTTTACCATGTGACCTCGGAACATCTAAAGAAAAACTTCCGACAGTTTTTTATTATCTCTTGGCCGAAAAATTATGTTTTAGTGAGCTGTCGACTCATGGAAATTGATCTACCTCCTCAATAAAATGTGTGTCAACGCTAGTTCCCATCAAAGAAAGGAAAAAACATATACTGAATATGAGCCCATTTCTGGAAATATATGCTTAGTTAACAAAGACACCTATTTCTTGAGGTGATAAATATTTTTTGTCTGATTTCATGATGTGAAACCAAATCCATTATCAAGGATATCGTCATGCAGGTTCTTTAATACAGAGAGTGACTCCTTAAACTTACCACCACATTAACAAAAGGGGGGCCCCAGTGAACATGGCGGACCCCCTGAAACACATGTAAAACTGACAATATTACAAGAGAGAAAAACTTCTGTGTGAGTGTCCCATTAATGCAAGCACAAACAAAGACACTGAAGGTTTCAAACAGGAACTTTCGCTGATAATTCACTCACCCCCATGTCATCCAAGATGTCCATGTCTTTCTTTCATCAGTCGAAAAGAAATTAAGGTTTTTGATGAAAACGTTCCAGGATTTTCTCCATATAATGGACTTCAATGGGAACCAAACGGTTCAAGGTCCGAATGAGAGTTTCAGTGCAGCGTCAAAGGGCTTTAAACGACACCAGACGATGAATAAGGGTCTTATCTAGCGAAACGATCGCTCATTTCAAAAATAAATAGCAAAGTTTAAGTTTTATAAGCTCAAACGCTCGCCTTGCTCTGTTTTGCGATGCGCGATGCCAATGAAGTCCATTACAGTATATGGAGAAAATCCTTGAAAGTTTTCATCAAAAACCTTAATTTCTTTTCGACTAAAGAAAGAAAGACAAGGACATCTTATATGACATGGGGGTGAGTAAATTATCAGCAAAAGTTGTTTTAAAGTGATCTACTCCTTTAACTGCCTACAAGAGAATATGGACTCAGTTGAAATGCATTTATCTGATGCAGTGTTATGCTTCTCAGATTCTTGCTTTCTAAAGCTTCTCATTCTTAAATATAATGCTCACCTGTTAAGTCATATAATTTTTTCCACTTTTAATATTTAATTTTTTTTTTGTGATTTTTGATCAGAAATAGCATTTAAACTACCGTTTAAATGTTTGGGGTCATTTTTTTTTATACATTTATGTTTCTCAGAGAAGTCCAATGCTCACCAATAATGCATTTATTTAATTATAAATACAGTAAAAATAAAAATAAAAATTATTAGAATTATTTAAAAGTTATATAATTCCTGTGATGCAAAGCTGAATTTCCAACACTGTCATTATCAGAAATCATTCTAATATGCTGATTTGCTCTTCAAGAAACATTTCTTATTATTATCAATGTTGAAAACAGCTGCTTAATATTTTTGTTTAAAAAAGCGATACATTTAAGGATTATTTGATGAATTGAAAGTTCAAAAGAATTGCAAAGATACTGTATTCTTTACTGTCACTGTCAATTTAATGCATCTTTGCTGAACAAAAATATAAATTTCTTTTTTTTTTTTTTTTTTTTTTTTTTTAAATAAAGGTACAAAACCATTATGGACCCCAAACTTTTAAATGGTAGCGTACACACTGCATCCAGCAACTCTTAAAGTTTAAGAACTGGACAAATCTCTCAAAAGCTGAAAGAAAGAAAAGTATGACAAGACATGCTCTTTAGAGAATAAACAGACAAGATCCAGAAAGAAAAGCCCAGAGGGTTAAAAGGAAACAGAGTGCATGCAAAGATTTGAGATTATTTTATTCAATAAGAAAACTTCAGCGATACAGAAAAGAAGTAAAAGAAAAGCAGATATTGACCAGTATATGTTCCATTAATAAATAAGTGAAAATAGTAAATGAATATACTGTACAAGCATGTGCACGAAGTTAGTATAAAAGCAGGAAGCAGGAGAGATGAACAAGTGCTTTCTCATGAAGTCAAGGAAAATAACAATCTTCAACATGTAAAAAGAACTAAAAATGGATCTATACTGATTTAATTTCAAGGACCTCCATCCCAAATGTCCACACTCATACTGCAATGCCTCACATGGTAACTCATATAACAGACCCCCAATTGTGTTAGGCTTTTTTAAGTGGGACAAAGAGCTTTAAAGGGATACTCCACTTTTTTGGAAATAGGCTCATTTTACAACTCTTACAAATCAGTTTTCCCATTTTCAATCCATTCAGCCGATTTTCTGATATTTAGAAGAATATATCAGCAACCAGACAGTTTCTGGTCCCATTGATTTCCATAGTACTGTATATATATATTTCCTACTATGGAAGTCAATGAGACCAGAAACTGTCTGGTTACTGATATTCTTCTAAATATCAGAAAATCGGCTGAAAGGATTCGAAAACGGTCCCTATAATTGTTAAACGAATCCCTTTAACAATTATATTGACAATTATTATTTTCTGTTCTCCTTGTAGGATAACAACAGTACTTAAGTCATTTAAATCTGAGATAAAGGAGGAAGTCCCCTTTCAGCCACAGCATGTGTGTGTTTTTCCTTGTGCACAATAACTAAGGTCCTGTTTGCACCTGGAATTAAGATGTGTTTTGGTCGATCATATCACAAGTGGACGACGCTAAATACAAGTGTAAGTGTGACCACTTTCAACCTTGCATTCAACTGGATTGCTTTCGTAGCGTAAACACTCATGTGGTCGAATGTGTTCGAACAGCCACAAAAGACCGTCTTCTCTCCCCCTACTGACCTGATGCGTAAACATTATGGGAAGCGCGCTATCCAGGCGGGATTTAAACTTTGTCGGCATCCAAGTTTAGTTGGAAGAAGTAAAACATACCAAAATGTTCTCTCACCATTCCTGATTTCCGGAAACAAAATCTGCTGCTCTCCTTATGTTTTCCGTCATCCCCTTTTGTGTCCATATGTAAATTGCAAGAGCTTATTTTGTGCCTTTAGATTAAAAGATCTGAAAAACCCATACATTTACCAGCCCATAGACCATCCCATTAAAGAAATTAGGACAGAAGTGGTTGAAAGTGGACAAAAGAGACAGATCTGCCTCGTCTACTCGTGATCAGATCTACTCAATACCAGCTGTAAACAGGGCCTACCATTCAGAGGTCACCTGATAGCCTGTGATGCCAATAGTGGCGATACTGGTGGGCTGTGGCCAGTGACCTGGGTTCAGAGGCCCTGCGGGTAAGCGGTCTGGAGTGGTACACATGGTACGGTACAGGTACAGGGCATACCTGTGCGGGCGAGCGCTCCAGAGCACGCAGAACCACCAGCTGGATGGTTCCTCGGAGGTTCCCTTCAGTCGACATGGAGTAGCGAAGGGTTTCCATGGCATCGTGGTTGGAGCGTCCGACCAGGGATTCACTGTTAACAGCCACCAGCTGGTCATTGACACGCAAGCGACCATCCTGCAAACAAGACGAGACAAACACCAATGTCACTCAACACGTAGAGCTAGAAGTAGGTAGATGTATACATTAATATACCAACAGATTCAGAGCCAAAAAACCCCAAAAAACTTAACTACATACTAGAGACCGACCGATAAAGGATTTTGAAGGCCGATACCGATACAAATATTTGTTGGTTTTAAAATCCGATATATCGGCCGATATTTTTTTATTTTTTCCCCAGAAACGCGAAACAAAACATTAACAGATTTCCCTTGTTAGAACTTGTTTCTTTTATTGTCACAATAGAACAGAGGAACATCAAAATATGAAATAAAATAATAATTAGTCCCTATATTACCATATAAGCTACCTGCAACCTGGATCAGCAGGATGTGTGGCGCGTTATACACGAGTGTTACCAACAGGGACGGTGTTGACTGCCTTCTGGTGGACAAACTATACAACTCCAACACTCATGACATGGTTGAAGCGTGTTTCGTCCGTTTTTATTTTATTTTTGAAATATTCATTTATCGGCCATTATAACTGCCGATACCGATAGTTTGGAAAATGCCTAATATCGGCCGATAAATCGGTCTGGCTCTACTACATACTATAGTTCTAGTTATAGATGTATTGAAAAGCTCTTACATTTTACCTATAATAAGATATAATTAACCTATAAATTCAATGGCATATTTCAAATTAAATATTAAAAATAAAAATACAAAAATACAAAAAAATAATAATAAATCATCATGGCAGTGCTTACATTTTATAATGATTTACCAATAAATTCAGCACAGAATTTAAAATTAAATAGAAAAAATAGAATAAAAAAATACAATTCATTCATTTCATAGTACTATACAGACAGATTAATACGATTAAAAGTTCTTAAATGTTTTACTATAATATTATAACTATAAGATATCAAATGTACCTATATATCAATAGTAGAATAATCAAGCACACAAAAAAGTAAAAGAAATTTAATACAAAATCATTGTATTAACATACACATCTCATTCAAGATGAAAGCATTAAATATACTTTTAACCCGATTTGCGAACAAATCATTTTCAATGAACCGCCACTACTCTTGAAAACAGCACATTACAACATGTAGTCAACAAGTTAGCTAGCTACTCCCAGCACTAAAGCCCTATAGTGTGATTTAAAAACATTTATGCAGCGTCTTGCCCCACTGTTAAATGTTTAATGCGTCCCAGTATGAATTCAGATACAATTACAGATGCATATCATTAGTGTGAAAGGACCAGGCCAGAGTGAATTGGATTAAGGTTCACAGCTGTGGTTTCCTAAATAAAACTCCGCTGAGGAGGAACAAAAGAGATTAGCAGCTAAAAGCCACTGGAGCCGCTAAAGACTCCTGAGAGTCTGTGTCACGGAGGACGATCCTGACCCTTGAGCGGGGTCACTGACCGCAGACCACTGATACCGACCTGGGAGGGGGTCTCAGCCAGGACCGACACAAACACTTGTGCCCATCTATTGAGGAAATATACAAATGCGTACTACACAAGCAGACCGTCTGGAAGATCACAACCCAAGACGGCTTTTTAAAGGACGCCCCCTCGTGAATAGCTCCAAAGACGTGTTTTTCTTTATTACTAAGCAGAATTGCATCATTTTATCTCAATCTTGGAGTGCTTGGGGACGGAGCAACAGAAAGCGAGTGATAAGGGTGAACGGCCGAAGTCAAATGAAGAGCTCAGCCTTTGAAAATGTCTATTTCTTTGAGCGCCTCTCTGATGGAGGCCTGTGATGCAGCTCGCTCTCCAGTGGAGTGCTGATAGGGGCCAGAGACGCAGCTCCACCTCTGAGCCCACTCTTGATCACAGTGCTGATAGGGGCCAGAAGATGTGGCCTTATCTACACATACACAACACCTGCTGCCTGACTGGACTGATTGAGGACAGGAGACGAGTATTCATATCTCTCTGACGACACTTGCTAAGGTTCACCTGTTACAACAGATACCACCATGAAAAACCTTAACAGGCTACAATGGCCACTATTCAACGGATTATTCATTTAGTTTTTTAGTTTGAGGCCACGTTGGGTGAATCACAGTTAGCATACTACGGTGTATTCGACAAAATGTAAGCAAGATCTGTATTATTGCTTCCCAAAACATAGTGCTAATTATAAATTAATACAATATTTGGAACAATTAACTGGGCAACAACTATGCCTTATGAACGTATGTTTTAGGGTGTCAAATACTTTTTGTGAATTTATCATTCATATTATGTAAATCAAGTGTTTACTTTGAATTTAAATTGGCTTAAAGTGGTTAATGCAATAGGTAATATCAAAAAATAACCTTTTTTACTAAATAACATGAAAACTGTTAAATCTCCTTTTTAATTGAAATAAAGCTAAAATAATTCGATAAAATATTAGATTTAAAAAAAAGAACATTTAAAATTTGCTTTGAAAGCTAAATGAAACAAGTTTAAGTACTAAATGACTACTACTATAGAAAGCACACTGAAATTAAATGAAAATATGCAAGCTAATTGTACGATATTTATTAATACTATAGTGTACAGATAACATTAAAATAACATTGCATTTATTAATGTAATTATAATATGTACAAATACTAGGGGTGGCACGGTACATGAAAAAACACCCGAACCGTTCGGTTCGCTTGTCTCGGTTCGGAGCGCGTGTGCGTCTCACGGTTCGACGCATGCGCAATGTAACCTCGTGCCCGTATGTGACGTGTGTTTTCTTTTCGCGCGACATAAACTTGTTCGACTTGGACCGGCGCTGCACAGAGCGATCGGTGAATAACATCAATCTAGCGCGAGTCGGCTCCGTATGCATTCATCACTTTCGCGGTATTTGATGTCCTTACCGATCGCTCTGTGCAGCGCCGGTTCAAGTTAATAAACAAGCCAGTAAAAGTGGAGTATGGAGCGCTGCAGGTCACGGCACGCGGAGAAATGGCAAGTGGGAGAGATGAGGGAGTTGGAGGATGCGCCAGTGTCGTATGAGTCTATGGTATAAGTCCGGTGTGTGGGAACATTTTGGATTTCATGTTATGATATTTTAATTTAACTACAGTGGCACTTTATGTATAGATAAGAGCTTCAGTCATACGTTTCCAAACCCTGCACTTTAATTTTAAGTGGAAAAAAGTACCCTCACATTTTGGGAATAGAAGCATTTTTGATACTGTTTTTGTGTTGAGGTTGAACTTAAATTTCACTTTATGTTTATGGCCTTTGCTATTGCTATAGCTTAATTATCTATAGGCAATGAGGTTTCATGTATATTGACATTTAAAAGACAGTGTTTTAAGAGTTCCTCTCTTTTTCTTTTAAAAGATAGAATTTTGGTAAGAGCTACAAAAGTTAGCAGTTGATACATGAAAGTTAATTTCTTTGTGTTAATAAGATTTATGTGATAAAAATGCACAAGTTCTTGTAGAGATAGTGATACACATTCTCCTTTTTTTGCCAAATAAACAAAAAGCATGTCAATTTCTTCTCTCTTGCTGTATCTAAATCTCACCTAGCTTTCCTCTGAGATAGTCCCAAAATGTGCTTAAAGTCAAAGAGTCAAAATCAGTTTGTCCATGATTGCACGAATATAATATATATTTTTTTAATACTGTATCCTAAAGTGTGGATAATTAAGCTATATATCACATGCTGAAGTACATTTCTGGAGTGTTAAAGATTAAAAGAAAAAATAACAAGAACCGTACAGAACCGAAAACCGTGACCCTAAAACCGTGATACAAACCGAACCGTGGGTTTTGTGAACCGTGCCACCCCTAACAAATACGTAATTTTTTTTTTATAAATTTATATATTTCTTAAAGTATGTATATATTTAATCAATTAGGGCTGTCAAATGATTAATCGCGATTAATCGCATCCAAAATAAAAGTTTGTGTTTACATAATATATGTGGGTGCACTGTGTATAATTATTTTATATATATAAATACACACACATGGTTGTATATATTTAAGAAATATTTTCATGTATATACTGTTTATAGATTTATATATAATTTATATTATATATATATATAATATCTTATATATAAATTATATATTTTTCTTACATATACATGCATGTGTGTGTGTGTGTGTATATATATATATATATATATATATATATACACAAAATAATTATACACAGTGCACCCACAAATATTATGTAAACACAAACTTTTATTTTGGATGCGATTAATCGCGATTAATCGTTTGACAGCCCTAATTTTTATTAGAACTGTAAATCAGCACTGTATGTTGTTCTGTTGTGACATGCAGAGGTTTTGAGTGACTTTCATCACTGAAGTTCTCAAAGCGTTGACGCTGGCCGCTTTTACCTTGTTTGCGGCGCCACCGTGGATGATTGACTTGATGAAGATGCCCAGGTCTTCTCCGGTCTCTCGAGACTTGTTACCCTTCAGACTGACCCCCAGACCAGCTGAGCCGGAGTCGTTCAAAGGAACTTCAAACATCAGCTGCTCTCGCCCGTCCTCCACCAGCAGTGGACCTGGCGGCTCTCCTTTCTGCAAATAACACACTTCGGTCAGCATCTCAGTTGACTTTTAACACTGTATAAATTTGAGCATTTACCCCAGTGCAACATCCTGCCGCATTGACTACAAATGTAAGTGGATTATTACTAGACATGCAATTTTTTGCTTGCGTTTACAAACTACGTGCCGAGTCAAAATGATTGCCAGTGGTAATCGACATGTCACAGATGCTGTCGATAGAGTTAAACTCGTATTGAACCTGGAACACTCCAATAAGATAATGGATGTAGTGAGATGAGCACGCTAGTGTTTAAAATGAAGGAATATGCCGTATATACACTCACCTAAAGGATTATTAGGAAAACCTGTTCAGTTTCTCATTAATGCAATTATCTAATCAACCAATCACATGGCAGTTGCTTCAATGCATTTAGGGGTGTGACAATCTCCTGAACTCCAAACTGAATGTCAGAATGGGAAAGAAAGGTGATTTAAGCAACTTTGAGTGTGCCATGGTTGTTGGTGCCAGACGGGCCGGTCTGAGTTTTTCACAATCTGATCTCAGTTACTGGGATTTTCACACACAACCATTTCTAGGGTTTACAAAGAATGGTGTGAAAAGGGAAAAACATCCAGTCCTGCAGGGCGAAAATGCCTTGTTGATGCTAGAGGTCAGAGGAGAATGGGCCGACTGATTCAAGCTGATAGAAGAGCAACTTTGACTGAAATAACCACAAGTTACAACCGAGGTATGCAGCAAAGCATTTGTGAAGCCACAACACGCACAACCTTGAAGTGGATGGGCTACAACAGCAGAAGACCCCACCGGGTACCACTCATCTCCACTATAAATAGGAAAAAGAGGCGACAATTTGCAAGACAGTTGAAGACTGGAAAAATGTTGCCTGGTCTGATGAGTCTCGATTTCTGTTGAGACATTCAGATGGTAGACTCAGAATTTGGTGTAAACAGAATGAGAACATGGATCCATCATGCCTTGTTACCACTGTGCAGGCTGGTGGTGGTGGTGTAATGGTGTGGGGGATGTTTTCTTGGCACACTTTAGGCCCCTTAATGCCAATTGGGCATCGTTTAAATGCCACGGCCTACCTGAGCATTGTTTCTGACCATGTCCATCCCTTTATGGCCATCATGTACCCATCCTCTGATAATGCATCATGTCACAAAGCTTGAATCATTTCAAATTGGTTTCGTGAACATGACAATGAGTACTAAAATGGCCCCCACAGTCACCAGATCTCAACCCAATAGAGCATCTTTGGGATGTGGTGGAACGGGAGCTTCATGCCCCGGATGTGAATCCCACAAATCTCCATCAACTACAAGATGCTATCCTATCAATATGGACCAACATTTCTAAAGAATGTTTTCAGCACCTTGTTGAATCAATTCCACGTAGATTTAAGGCAGTTCTGAAGGCGAAAGGGGGTCAAACACAGTATTAGTATGGTAATCCCAATAATCCTTTAGGTGAGTGTATGTATATATAATATTAAATTATTATTTTTTTTTATTTCAGTTAAAATAAAGGCAGATTGTGCACAAGACCAAATGTATGGAATAATAATGGATAAATATATAAAGTAGGGTTTGGACAGAACGAATGAATGTCTGATGGTGAGGCAGGAAAACACATTGGGGGTCATTTGACTTGAAAACGAAAGGGTTAGAGCAGAAGAACGTGCCATATCAAAAGGGAACATAATACGCTTTTGTCAGGGATTCATTCAGGAGGGCGGGGGTTGGAGAACGACACCATTTAAGACTCATTATTGAACACACTTACACACATGCACAACTACCCACACATTTCACTTCTCTTTTTGCTTTCTTTTGCTCCAAAACATCCTAAAATCAAAGAGATCAGGGGTGTCGGTGCCATGGCCTTTGACCTTTTCTCCACATCGTTTCCTCCTCCTCTCCACAATCGCATCAATAAAACCCAGCAAAACCTGGAGTAAAGTGCATCGGCTAAACGCGACTGACATCCTTCTGGAAACTACATTAAACATTAGCCTGTTGCTAAGCTACTGTGGAAATGGGCAGAGGAAAAAAGCAACAAAAACGCCTTTGTAAGAGCACGAAGTTGGGCAAAAAGCATTAACTAAGAGCTAATGATGAAAAATAGGAGGGCCAATGGGGCAAAGCTTCAAGTAGTCCTTTTAGTGTGTGCTCTTACTGATGATAATGTGTCGTACATGGCCTGAGGCGGACGACAAATCTGAGTTTTAGCACACAATAAAAGGCCTGTTTGTAAGTGAGGTCAAACTTTGGTCCCAGCGAGAATATCAGATTGTCTGATGTCTCCTCACACGAGGAACGGGGGAGATGCCGCTTCGGTGGTCCTATCAACACTTGAGGCCCAGACTTTATATGAAGTCCTCCTGAGGGCAAATACACACTCATATGCTCTCATACACACCATGTGATTAACTATTTTAACTCAAGTACATGAGTAAAATCTGGGGGAAAAGGTCAGTGACACTCAAAAGATGGATTCACGTTGGGAATAAGTGGAGCGAAGTGTAAACACAGCATTGGATCATACACATAAAATAGGCTTATGGGTAATGCAAATACAATAAACATATTTGGACGTTTATTTAAATGTTAGTATTACAGTAATTCCTATGAACTGACATTGTAAGTATAATAAATATATGTAAGTCATATTAACACTAATGACTAATAACAATAGGTTATTTTCTACTAATATTAATTATTATTTGTCTTAATTCATATCAATAAGAACTGATAATACATTTCATTAGTATTAATGCTTAATTGATAAGTATTAACACATAATTAATATGCATTATTAACATCAACACAAAAGATTCATATTGACAGGATATTACATATGATACAAATATGAATCAATTTCAGTATAAAAAAAATTGGCAACATAAATGCTATTAATATCAATACAATTTAAAACGTATTAACAATCAATTAATATTTATAGTAACTGATATAATAATACATTTACACAACAAACATTAATATCAACATTAGTAATTCATATTGATATGAAATTATTAGGGCTGTCAAACGATTAATCGCATCCAAAATAAAAGTTTGTGTTTACATAATATATGTGGGTGCACTGTGTATAATTATTTTGTATATATATATAAATACACACATACAGTATGCATGTATATTTAAGAAAAAAATATTATTTTTATATATAAAATATTTATATTTATATTTAATATAAATTATATATAAATCTATATACAGTATATACATGGAAATATTTCTTAAATGTATACAAGCATGTGTGTGTATCTATTTATATGAAATAATTATACACAGTACACCCACATATATTATGTAAACACAAACTTTTTTTTTGGATGCGATTAATCACGATTAATCGTTTGACAGCCCTAGAAATTATATATTATATTTAATAGGATATTAGTATTTATAGTCGTTAATTTGAACAAATCATTAATATTAATACATACTGATATTAATAGTAATAAATATAGTCATTAATAAAAAAGTCGGGTTAATAGGTTAATAATATTAATAATATTTAAGCAGAAACAAATCAAAGATCATCCAAATTTATACTTGGCGATAAAACATCCAAGATATCCTGAGCTACAACATTTTAAATAATCCATTTGATTTGAGTCTTTGTGTCATTTACACACAAATAATCCACGGGAAATGTGTTTTGATGCCCCTGGCTTGAAGTCGATGCACCTTAACCCAGATATTGAACTAAATTAGAATTGATGTCAGAACGCCATCTGCTATTACATGAAAGCATCTACACTTTTTAGATTACTCGCAGCTTTAAAAAGCGTCCATTGGTTTTTGGAAAGAAATGGCCGTGACCCAAATGACAAATATAATTAAATAGGCCATGACAAAGCAGAACACATCCTGTGTGTGGGAAGAGGAATTATTACAAAGACCATCTCAAGGACTTCAACATGCTCCACCAGCCCTGTGCCCGACCTCTCTTCCTTTGAGTGCAACTGTGTGCAATGTGCTGTCTGACCCTTCCATCCTCACAGAAAACCTGTCTGAATCAAAGGGTCTACAGCAACACCCACAGCAGACCCTTCAAACAACTATACATTGGTTAAAAAAAAATCAATTTTCAACTTTTACAACAAATATCTTGCCGGATAAACATGCAATAGTGGCGGTATTAGATGCAACACACCATGATTCTATCAAAACTTGATTTTAGATCATTTTATCTTGAATACAAGTGTCATTTGTCTAGTGGAATGCCACAAACATCACTAAATAGTCATTTTATCATTCTTTTAAATTAATTTTTGCAGTGCATGCCCATGTCTTGCGGGCACAAACAAATTTTACATTACAATTTAATTTGATGTTTGGCTGATGTATTGCTACTGGCTATCAGGTAAAATTAATTTGCAGCTGAAGACATTATTTCCACCCACTGCATTAATTTAATCTCACAGCACGTGACAAACTGATGGCAATATCAGTCAGCTGAACTTTAATGCAACGCTCAAATTTAGGCCACATTCACACTGTCAATTTATGGGATTGACAATAGCATTTACTTGGTGTGAGTCTCGAAATGTCCCGTTCACACAGCAATCGAAGCAACGTGCAACGGGAGTGGAGCCTGTATTCTCTAACTGGGAACCATCGCGATAGTGACCAAGTTGGGTAATTATATTTTGTCTATCAATATGGGGGGTGTTAAATTGGCTTCTGAATGCGTTTTCGCACATAATCCATGAACAGGCCTCGAATTTTACAAGATATTTGTTAATGATGATCTGGATCTGTTCCCCCTCTAATCCTATGACGTCATCCTGTCAGTCATCTCTCCTTACTATCTTCATGTGATAAAGAAATCTGATGTAACCGACTACCACAGCAACCCTAACTATGTCTCTTTAGGGGCTCCATGCGTGACTCCTTTTCCATGCCTTTCCGAATTCGAATTTCGGCTTCAGACACATCCTTAACCCCCTGAGCTCGAGTAATGCGCCGCCGCGTTATGCTGGTCTTGTGTGAACAAAACATACATTAATCAAAAGTCTTGTGGACACATATTTCGTATGTGTTTTGTGGCCTTATTTCAGAAACTTCCATTTTTAGTTTATTCAATAGCCACGCATAAACAATATTCTCTCAAAAATACAAACTTGTACATACATGTTGCTCCTATATTATGGTAGCCCTGTTTCTGCTAAATATAGTGTAATTTCACCTGTGCCATTAATAGGTTTATAAGCACAAATGTCAGGGCATCTCAAAACATCTCAAGGACCCCAAATACACCCAGACCTCAGAGGGTTAATATGCATACACTAACAAAACATTACTAAAAATGTCCAAGCTGGTGTAGAATCTAGATTAATCTAGATCGGCTAAGGAATACCATAGTGCATGCCCAAAAATATGGTAAGTTTTAGTAATGTTTTGTTAGTTTATGCATATTAACCTTCTGAGGTCTGGGTGCATTTGGGGTCCTTGAGATGTTTTGAGATGCCCTGACATTTGTGCTTATAAACCTATTAATGGCACAGGTGAAATTACATATTCAATATATAATTATATATTTAGCACAAACAGGGCTACCATAATATGTGAGCAACATGTATGTACATGTTTGTAGCTAAATATAGTGTAATTTCACCTGTGCCATTAATAGGTTTATAAGCACAAATGTCAGGGCATCTCAAAACATCTCAAGGACCCCAAATACACACAGACCTCAGAGGGTTAATATGCATACACTAACAAAACATTACTAAAAATTACCATATTTTTGGGCATGCACTATGGTACTCCTTAGCCAATCTAGATTAATCTAGATTCTACACCAGCTTGGACAGGCTAAAAACCATCTTGTGACAGTTATAAATCAGGTAAGCTAGGCACCATTAGATGATTTTAGCTGGATTTTCCAACAGGGCCGGACGTTTCAGCGACACACTCCTGCATCCAGGATATCCAGTCACCAACACATCAGCACCGTGACTAGATCCCAAAAGGTTGATTCAGAAAAACAAGGCTTTAACTCTGTCAACGGTCTCTAAATATGGGTCACGCAGACTGCTTCATCTCTAAACAGACATATCTAGCTGCTAACAGGATGGACATTTATGGTGTCGCCCATTTCCTGTCTAAAGATCTGGTGGATTTTAGCAGAGATGCTTTATATTGCCTAATGGCTGACTGTTAGCCAAATCTAAATTATATTAAGATGGTATTTTTGTGCCTGCAGTGGGTGGTTAAAGAAAACGTTGAATACTGTATGATGGTGGGTGTTTATGGAGGGTATTTGGATGCATTCATTGGTTGGAATGAAATATAAATGCACACACACACACACACACACACACACACACACACGCATATAAAGGCAGATGGTGAAATCCACTCAAAACTGTCATTATATCTTTTCATACTCTTCCATTCTCTGAAAAAAAATTTCTCCCGAGTGTGTCATTTTTCCCTTTGCCTGCCGTCGCATTTCTGCCGTAATTTACCCTGGCTAAGCAGTGGCACAGCTAACCCACTTTGAATTTGAATAGGGTGGAAAAATGGAGAAGGTTTTTCTCTGTGAATAGATACTGCAGAGCAGCGCTTTATGACGTATTTCTGTGCCTAACAAGAATTAATGGTCCAATAATAGTCAGTGTCAATGACATACAGCTGCTCTTCTTCAACAGATCTGGCACAGCAAAAAATGTAAGTACAAAGCTAAATCCATAAAAAAAACAATAATTTAACCGTGAATTAGTTTTTACAATTCACAAAACTAATTCTGAAGTTAAAAAAACAATACTAATAATAATCTCAGACATTTAATTGAGGAAGTAGGAAATGATTTACACTCAGAACGATTATGAATTGTTTGGCAGCCCACATATATCACAGGTGACCCGTCTAAACCAGAAGCCTTTGATAAGCAGACACTAGAGTGTAAATGAACTGAGGATAGACAGAGACACAATGAAGGGATGTGGTCTTTCTTCCTGCGATGAGGGATCTAGTGGCGCCACAAGTGCACTTTTACACGTTGTTATAAAAATAAAGATGCTTTGAAAGGGGTCACCGATCAACACGGCCCACGTGTAACATCTGGGAGAAGAGATGGACCAGTGTCAGCCCAAAGCTTCCTGTTAAACTGCTGTGTCATGTGTACAACTTCCTGTCACAACCTGATTCGACACATTCAAAATAAAGGAGGGGATTGCTGGGGTTATCAAAAATGTGTTAAGCACGTTGACGGTTATATCCATAGTATTAAAACTATACTGTATATACCAGAGCCAGACCGATATATCGGCCGGCCGATATTAGTCATTTTCCAAATTATCGGTATCGGCAGTTATAATGGCCGATAAATGAATATTTTGTATCATATTTTGATAATGAATATTTTAACAAAATTTGTGACTATCATGTCCAGTTTTGCTGCTGTTAAATAAGCCGAGAATGAAGCAGAATTAGCTAGTAATAGTTACATTAGGTTGTTACAGTGTAGTCCTTTTAACTTTTGACAATGTGACTGAAGTATTTCTTTAATAGCGCGTGACAGTTATCGCAATGAGACGCATCATCTCTCCTTGGCCTGTTATATTGAAAATGTATGTTTTACAATTTGTTGCGCGTTTCTGAAATAATAATTAAGAAAAAATTTAAAATCAATAAATATTTGTATCGGTATCGGACTTCAAAATCCTTTATCGGTCGGGCTCTAGTATATACAGTATATGTTCATTGCAAAATATGCATGCAAATAATTATACAAATATTTAGTATTTTGACCGCATAGCGAGACCAGCTTGATTACGCCATTTGTGGCGCTCCATGAGAGTGAGCTTTCCCCTGCATGTTCATTTAGCCAGATTGCTTGCTGCAACTCTCGGATTGGTGGAATTTTCTATAGAGCAACACAGGTACTGTAGTTTTTCACCACAAATTTCAGCTATTAAATGGGTGATGAACTGAGAAATCAAATTTTCCTTGAGCTTTTGACATCTAAGAGGTCATCATACTAGAAGAATATCCTGTAAGTTTCAGAACTGAAAACGGCCTTATTAGTCCAATAAAAGCTTTTATTGACAAACGACTCGTTTTTCAAAGTGGGGAACTATGACGTCAAAGAGGATAAAACACCACCCCCGCAGAAGAAGATCAACGCCTACTTCAACACGGCCGGTTTAGCCCCGCCCACCGATTCGCTCATTCACGCATAGCTAAATAACATAGATGCCTAGCTCGTGATGACAAACCGGATCGAGCTACCGAGCAATACAGAATATTGTGCAGCGCCTGGTTGTGGAAGAAGACAGTGGCAGCATAAGCTTTCTCTGGATTCCAATAGGACTGCATGGATAAACTTTATTTTTAATGAAATTCCAGCAGATGAGGTAAAACATCGTCCGTCTGTTCGCTTCATTTCACTGAGGATTGTTTTGTAAACGACTGGATTTGCGGACCGATTAAGAGTAAAGAATGGTGCTGTGCCGTCTATATTGGGTCTGGCGAACAGTATGTATGGGCGAATCATTCCCATCGCCATTTTATAACATTGGACGTTTTCAAAACAATTTCCCCCAAGTGCATCGATGGGTGAGTCGAAACTCATTATAATATGCAAAACTGTTATCCACTCACAGCAGTGGGCGTTTACTTCCAAGTCTTCAGTGCGAGACGCCCATAAAAACCGAGCGTTTTTGAGCTATGGTAGAAAATAGCCTATTACTTACTCATTTTGATGTTTTTGAATGTAAAAACCAAGAACGTCATAAGTTGACCTCAGACAACAATATAATAAAATTTAAAAAGACCCCTTTAAACACTCTTTAAATAGTTATTTTACGGATGGCTTCAAGAAAAGCATATCGATTAAGAACCTTGGAACTCACAGTAGGTCTGTCTAAAAGTTTATAAATCATTGGTAAAAATCAATTTCCTTATGAAAAAATCCTTTACTTCTTGACTGTTCCAGTACAGTCTTACCAGTTCTCTGGGCAAAAACTCCTCTTGTCTTCCAACCATCAAAGATACGGTCTCTCCCAGTTTGGTGCTGCGCAGCATAGCCACCAGTTCCTCTTGTGTGCGTCCTGTAATGTCCACTCCATTTACCTAGAGAAAAAAAGCAATTTCCAGTAACTGTCAAAACTGAGAGCAAAATGTCCATTTTCACTTTGACGAGATGGAAAACATGTCAGTATTAATTGTGTCTCTTGGCCAGGTGCGATTCAAGACAGACAATTGGTCTGATTACGTCAAAAATGCATTATGCATTCTGAAACAATATATTTAGATTGCATTCAAAACAATACCGTTTAAATGCATGACTGGCGGGGAAGGAACAGCCTAATTTAATGTTCTGTAAATAAGCTCTGATTTTGCATTAGCCAGGTTGCGCTCTCATGATTGCATTGACGCAGAAAGCATGTAATACCTCCAGGATACGGTCTCCAGACTTGAGCCGCCCGTCTTTAACGGCAGCTCCGCGAGGCAGAATGCTCTTGACCATAATGGGTCCTGGACCATGAAGAGACGAATCTCTGGTCACCACGGTGAAACCGAGGCCCTCCGTGCCTGGAGAGAGAAAAAGGGCAGAAACATTAAGCATTTATTTAATGATCCAGTGAACCAGACAAACCGTTTTCAGCAGTGTGGATAACAAAAGCTTCAAACTTCTGAACATATTTTACTCTGCTATATGATATGAAATAATAATAAAAGTACATAATTGTTCCACAAGGTTCTAAAGACTTGCTATTCACTGCAAGGAAGAACACTGAGAACATTTTGCAAACTTAAATGTAAGATGTGATGTTCTGGTCATACTGTACACATTTAAATTTATAACACAAACTTCAAGACACAAAACTGGACAAGGACAAAGAGATTGAGTGGTTTATGCGTGAAACTCTAAGGATGTTGACAGATATGAAGGAGAATCTGGAATACGTCATTCAAAAGCTCTTATTGGTTGTTTTTTGTGTTTTTCGACTAGAAAAAATATGTTTACCCTTGCAAAACGTTAATTACAGATAATGTTGGGAAAGTTCACTTTCTACACATGAACTAGTTCAAAGTTCAGTTCACACATTTTAAAACGAACTAGCTCAGTTCATAGTTCATACTTCAAAAAATGAACCAGTTGATAGTTGATGATTTTCCATATGTTGCGAGCTACTTTTTTTAATTTGTATTTTTTTATTATTGCCACAGCCAACATCGACACCGATCTTGTCATAAAATCTGTTTAAATGATCATACGACACCTCCTCGCTCGCTGCTTTGTCGACGGCGGCCGTGATGCAACACTGGTGGCTGGTGTTGCCAGATTGGGTGTTTTTCCGCTACTTATTAAGGCCCGTTTACGTGTGTTTTAGCCGGGTTTTCGCCTAGAAGGCTCTAATCTGGCACCCTAACGAAGTTAAACTGAGAGAGCGTGCGTTCACAGACATCAGAATGAACGCATTCATAGTAATGTTCATCAGGCAGTTATACAGAACGTTCAGTTCACATTCGCCCAAAATATGAACGTTCAGGCACAACACTGCTTATAGACTAAAACTAAAACTGTTTATTGCAATGAATATTCCTAATTTTTGGCCTGTCAGAATGAAACTTAGATTTTTCTCAATTTAAAATGGCTCGTTCGAACAAAATAGGCGGATAGGCGGATTTTTTTTTTCTTTTTTTTTTCTTCATAAATCATTACTATTGGTAACTCCACATCTGTCAGTGGGTTTTGCAAATATTTAACCAATGGAAAGTATTAAAAAGAGCTTGTGGCTAAATCTCGTATCTTCATTGGATCCTCAAACTGTCTGTCAAACCTCATAAGTGCCACAAGCACATTGGACCATCTCTGCTTGTTTGCAATGCAATGGTAAATAAAGAACTGTTTGTTTGAATAAGTACAGCATTTTCTTTGCTCGAGAAAATATATGTAAAGGTTAATGTTTTATGTACTTGAGGAGTGGAGAAGAGTGTCTTAGTCTGGTACTTGTCATTGAGTCATAGACAATATTGTCTTAAATAGTCCTTGTGTAGCACTTTGTAGATTTTGGCCAAATGACTGAATAAACTGAGAGCCCAACATAGCTGAAAATAAACTTTATAACCTGTAAGTTAATGAAATTGTAATGTGATGCCGTTTATATTTGCACGTTTGACACGTACGTCCAAAATTCTCTGAAATTCACTGAGAAATTAACTATTTGATCTTGATTCTGGTAAAATATTAATAAAATAAAGACATATGCGTCGGACCATATATAAAGCCACAATATCAATCTTGACATTTTTTCTCTCTGTTTTTTTTTTTTTTTTTTTTTTTGAAAAGTAGTGTTTAAGATGAGTTCTTGAACTCAAATTTTGACGATATGAAATTTTCAGACCCCAGTGTATTTTGTCTGGAGTTTTAGCATTAATTTTCAGTTTCTATAAATATTAAACTATAAAAGCCAACACCATCAGAGTGTCACTAGTATCACTGAAGTCTGGTTTAGAAATGATTGACTACTGAGATATGGGTTGTAGAGAGCAGGGTGGATAATGGCAAAAACGGTCTCAAGCTCATCCGATCCCAGATCAGGTCAAAAGGTCAACGGTACGCTGATGAAGGCTTTCAAGAACTCTGGATTGATAACCTGTGTTTAAGCTGTCGGTTTCTCTCCGTCTCCAACCCTGCTCGTTGATAAATGTTTCCTTACGGGGATTAGACAGCTCTGCACTTTAATTTCACACGTGAACACATCTACAGGAGACGAGAGATGCAGAGAGCAGGATACAGGAAGAGGAGAGAGAGGGAGAGAGAAATGGTGTGAAAGAAGAACAACAGAAACAATGACAAAGGGTGTGGCCTGACAAAAAATGATTAGAGGAAGTGGAAGCACTGGAAGAGGGGAAGGAGAAAAAAGTAGATGGAAAAGTGAGTCTCACTAAAACACGCAGGGTCACATTTCAAAATCAATCACAAGAGCAGGCGAAATATATATTTTTGTATTTCATGCATAAATATTACTATTAGGTTGTTTTTTATATGTATTTCACATATGTATTTATTGCACAAGTAGTGTATATATATATATATATATATATATATATATATATATGTGCATTGCATAGTTTATTATTTAGTCATTTTTATACCTAATGCATGTATATTTTATTATACATATATTTAAATATATCATATAAATATATATATATATACATAACATATTTATTTAATTATTGCATTTATAATTATATTTAGTTATTTGTACATGCATAACAATTTTACTATTTAAAAATACTACAAAATACTAGTATTAACATGGTAATACAATGATTAATTTTTATTTATTTATTTATTTTGTAAAATCAGCATAAATTAAAGGCATTACACTACCAAATAGTATCATGATATATAAATACACTTTATCTTTAAAAAAATATATATTATTTTATTGTATTGGTAATGAGAATTACATTTATTTGCAAATGAGCTTATTTGTCATTAAATGTTACAATGCAAGGCTTAAATTTGTATGAATAAAATATAATTATATAATGAATAAAAATAATTATATTTTTCTTTCCTTTGATTTTGTGGTGAAATATGACCTGCACATGCTACCGAACGGTTTCATGAGATTCACACAGAAACGCAATAAGAGATGAGAGCAAAATGAGGCTTAAAGAATCATGCTAAGATAGCGATTCCCGGGAGTCTCTCGTCTGAAGGGACACGTGAGATTACTGAAGCTGAGAATTGCTCTGTCTCTCTCTCAAACACACTTGAGGGAGAGATGTCATTGAGGATAGCGGCCAATCCAGCATACTAAAGATGGCAAATGATGAAATCTCAAGTCCCAGAAGAGCACCTGACATTAAAGTTTTAAACAATAGCACCTGTCAATCAGAGAAGCGATATAAAGACAGAGGTGAGGAAAAAAGGAAGAAGAACAAGTACAGATGTTGCTATGCAGCAGTTTTGACATGGGTTAAATCCAAGCGGCAACTTTCCGATCTCTCTCCTGAAACCAACACGGAAGAGACTTAAACTGCAATTCATAGACTGGCCACTAGAGGCAGGCTGCAAAAGAGAGTCAATCCCATTTACCCCATATATTACTGTGCTCAACTTTAAAACAGAAAAAAATATGTTTACAGCCTGGTGCAAAAAGTGGTTTTGGTCTTTATAGTTTATTTTGCCCTTCATTACAATTGTGAGGAGGGTGAATTTTTTTATAACTCATTAGTTTAAATTTTATTAAGCCTTAAACTTCTGCATAATTAAGGGCATAATTGAGTTTGCCGCTGCTGTTAGTAGCCGATTTTTAGCCGTCACGTCACCACAGGTAATCCGCCTGTTTGACCATTTTTCTTTATCCAGGAGTGACGCACAGTGACTCGCTTACAAGATGCCGACGGCCAGCTCCACCCACTTTGGGTTTCAAAAATGCTCTTCAGAAACCTACTGGTGACATCACTGACACTACGTCCACATTCTTTTTTACAGTCTATAGAGAGCCTAAGTCCCTCCCCTTCCGGTCGACCACCATGGGACCTTATTTCGGAAAAATATTGTATGGTAGTCAATGGCGAGAGACAACAAATATTTTGATCTTGTTTGAATCGTGCCCTGAATTACACATATGATGGTTGCCAATTTAAAAGATACATTTTAAAGTAAAGAAAGTCGCAGTTTGATGTAAAACCGTTGAGGTATAAGACTGTGAAAATACGTAATTACAAAGACTACAAACCCCAAAAGTGCACATTTTCTCTCAATGAAGGAAGCTAACTTTACTGAGGCTAATGTCTGTCATTGTTTCAATAGTCTTACGTTATAATTGTAACGTTACGCCGTCATGCCTGAGTGTTTTGTACCAGACTGCACACACACAAGCAGCGGATCTTACTCGATGTTTCACTTCTTGGGAGATGTAGTTCATTGAGCGATTTTCACATAAAACTAAATGTTACTCTTCTTTTTTTTGACAATTTTTTTAATTTTTTTGAATTTCATAATTATTTTTAAATTGACAAACATCACATGTGTAACTCAGGGTACAGTTCAGACGAAAAAAAAAAAGATAAGTTGTCTCTCGCCATTGACTACCATACATATTTTTTTTTCCGAAATAAGGTCCCATGAGCCGAAGCGGAGGGGCGGGAGGCACCTTCTAGTTAACTGGGCGGAGTCGGACAATTAATTAAGCTTAAAATCAACATGAGAAGGCATTCACAAGCCATTTTATTAAAGCAGTAAAGCAATGATATAGAAAAAAATGTAATTGACTTCCAGCTTACCTTTCTTTAAATCGATCTTCATTTTCTTCCCAGGCTTTTTGCTGGTCATGTTAACCACCGCAACGAGGGCTGGGGTCGTTTTTGGGGCAGGGCTCTTGCTACGATCTTTGAGGTTGGGGGATGCGCTGACGGGAGGAGAAGGCGTATCTCTGTAATGGTTTGATTCAACAGGGGAGTGTCTTGCAGGGTGAAGCTCCTCCTCCTTTAGGGGCGGGGTCTGTGAGACAGGGGGCTCCGGGGACGGCGTCGATGTATTACTCGGACGGAGATTATGGACCAAGAAAGGACTCTTGACTTTAGGGACCACAGTGGATGGTTCGGTGCCGTTGAAAATTTGACCGATGAGGCTCTTTTCGTAACGAAGCTTGTTGGCAACAGGAAGTACCTCCAAGTTTACGGCCGAGGAGGACATGGCTTGGCGAAACACCTCCTGAGACCTGAAACATCAAGAGCGACACCTTGTAATGCACATTTGTAGATAATATGAATATAAAAGACATCCATTTGGTCTTTCAAAGCTCTAGACTTCACAGCCTCCTTAATTAGCACCATTCAAGGGCCTTTTGGCTCAATAACTTTCAGTCATCACTTCTCACCGTTTCCATCTTTCTACATAACTCCCTGGAATTTACCCTGTCACTATAGACTGGTGTGATTATGTTAAAGTACCAATAGATTAATTATTCCTTATTGTGACTTACATCCAAGTGAAGCAGGTTATTGAAAGAGAAGACAAAAAAAATCTCTCACTTCCATCAATATGGATCTGCACTTGTGCTTCCCATCAGATTTTATGTTCAATTAAATACTCTTTCGCATCTTATTTTACTGTCGAATACATGTAAGGTTTACATAAACACAGTCATTGTGCTTTGAAACATGCAGCATTATTCAAAGTGTTGATATTATGATCTTTCTTCAGAGGCAGATCGTGGAGACATTTCAATCACTCTCAATTTCAAATCGCGATCACAATTCACACCGTAAATGTGTGAGGGCACAATTCATGTCGCATTAAATGTGTTGAGCAAACTTTTCAGAGTTCAGTTCAGGACAAGTAAAGGAGAAGTAAAATTGACTTGCTTGACTGCAGTCTTTTTTCTTTTCTACTTCAAAACCTTTAACTCTCATACCCATTACTCAAACTCTTCCTCTAATAGTGGCACTTCGTTTAATCTGTCACCCTTTTGAAGACTGTCCAATACCGTTGATGCCACTTAATAGGGCAATTCCACTCTTGCGGCAAGAGAAGACCATTTTCTTTTGTTGAGTTAAAGTTATAGCACTGAAACGATAGATAGATAGATAGATAGATAGATAGATAGATAGATAGATAGATAGATAGATAGATAGATAGATAGATAGATAGATAGATAGATAGATAGATAGATAGATAGATAGATAGATAGATAGATAGATAGATAGATAGATAGATAGATAGATAGATAGATAGATAGATAGATGGTTTGCATGCTATGAGCGAGAAGGACAGAGAACAACTGCGTGAAAGTGAAAATAACTCAAAATGATGGATAATGAAGAAGGGAATGCAGTAGAGAGAAAGAGAGCGGGTGGATGATTAGTAATCCACATGACAACAATGAATGTGTGACAGATGAAAGAGTCAGGCACTCACTGAGCGAAGGACTTGTCTATTAACTCGATGTCATTGATCTGCACAATGCACTCATCCTCTTGAAAGATCCTCTCTCGTTCAGAGCGGCTGTTCTCCTCGATGGATCGGATATGCAGACCCAGAGTCCTGATGACAAAAGCACAAACAGTAGGGCATAATTTGAGACAAAAGATATTAGTTCGATTTAAGCATCTCAATTACAACTGAAAATGACTCGTATGGAACCTCTGCACTTTCCTGAGTTACCCAAATGCTCTCATAAGTCAAGCATTACATTACATACAAAACAAAACACACAAAAATAAACACAAAAAAATAGAATACAATACTACAAATACAATACAAACAAATAAATCAATAAATAAATCCAGAGACATTTATTAAGCAAGGTACTGTCATAAAATTCAATTAAATTAAAATAATAAAAAAATAAAAATTTAAATAAAAAAAATAATAAAAATTTAAATAAAAAATAAAATGAAATAAAATAAAAAATAAATAAAATTAAATTAAATTAAATTAAATAAAATCTTCCTGGACACATGTCCGGTATTTACCACGGGGGAAATAATTGAGTAAAAATTTGGAGTGAAACACCAGAAACAAGGTTTCATCTTATTTTTTATTTTTTTTACTGTTGTTTTATTATTTAATAAAAATATGAATATTATTCCAGGAACTTTCTCTTAATTGTCTCTCAATATTAGCAATATTTCAAGAACAGAGTTCACTAGACAACCATTTCAATGATCAATTCTGTTACTACTGGGAAAATGAAGTAAATCCAGGATTTCATTTGCTGTTACTTCCTTAAGGGTTTCCTTTGAGACTCACACAACCCAAAGAGTAGTTCACCAGGTCATCGGACAGGTTTGACCACCTACAGAGAGAGGGTCTATTTCCATCCGGAGCTCAACAGGGCGCACAGGCCCCAACAACAGGAAACATGTCACCGTCCACCCTGGGAGGACTTCCTGTCATGCAGCACGTGTGTGTCCTTGCCCTGAACACTTAACTTTTGACCTGTTCATGCAGTCTGAAAGAGCCATTCACCTAGCTACTTCCTGAAAGTGTGTGGGATTATGGGTGAATATGAATGGGAAACTGCTGACTAATAATACTGAAATTAAGTAATGCACGCATGATAGTATTTATAATACAATACACAATATTGATGTAATATTATCTGAATTTTACATTAAATTCATATGCCAGTCGACCACTAGGATACAACACATACACTAAACAATTTAATAATAGCAACATCTTCGTTAGAATTTTCACAAAGGAAAAAAAGTTTGTTTTTAATCACACATGACAAGGACAGATTTCTCGATTTTGGGTTTCAATGGAGTGCTCTCCATCACCTGCATCATTTCCTCAGGTCGAGAGCTCTTGAAAAGTGTTGCATTGTAGCATTCAATCCCTTTAAAAACTATTACTTCTAGTCTATAGTCAATTAAGTCAGGTAATTAATTGATTACGAGTCAATGCTTGAGGATCGAACAGAAGAATTTCTACAATAATGCACCTCATAAGGGTCCATTATCATGAAAGTGTGTAAAACACCGTGAGTGTGTCTGTGTGTGTATGTGTGTGTGTGTGTGTTTGGTCCTGGTAAACCCTACATTGTGGGGACAAACTGTGCAAGGATAATTTTTGGTCCCCATGAGGAAAACACTCCTTATAAATCATGCTAAGTGTTTTAAAAATGTAAAAATGCAGTGTAATGTGATCAAATATGCAGTTTGTACAGTACAAAAATCATTTTGTCTATGAAAAGTGCCCATAAAACCTTACAACACAATGTGTGTGTGTGTGTGTTTTACCTTCCACTCAGTGAGGAGCAGTATGATACGACTTTGATTCCAAGAGGCCCGAGGTCTCCAGAAATCTTCACCGTCCGTGTGAGACTGCTACAGTTAGAGAAAAACACAATGGTGCCAGAGGTTAGTGGTTTAAAATGTTTCCTGCCAGAAAAATAAAAAGACTTCAACAAACTGAAAAATATATTTTGGAAGTGGAAACTTTCAGTGGAATGCAATTACATTAGCAGAACAACAGTCACATGTCAAAATGACAAGCCCAAAAACCATTAGGGTAGGAACTGTCTTGGATATCAATGGAGTGCTCTCCGTCACCAGCATTATTTCCTCAGGTCGAGAGCTCTTGAAAAGTGTGTTGCACTGTAGCATTCATTCAGACTCTGACTCCGCACTTACATTGTACACATATAATACACTAAATTTTCACATAGAGTAAAGTAAATCAATCTAAGTAAGTAAGGTAGTAAGTAGGTAAGTAAGGTAGTAAGTAAGTAAGTAGGTAGCTAAGTAGGTAAGGAAGTAGGTAGGTAAGTAAGTAGATAGGCAAGTAAGTAAGTAAGGTAGTAAGTAAGTAAGTAAGTAAGTAGGTAAGTAAGTAAATAAGTAAGTGGGATGGATGGATAGATGAATGGTAACTAAATACGTAAGTAGGTAGATAAGTAAGTAAGTAGGTAAGTAAGTAATTAAGTAGGTAAGTAAGGTAGTAAGTAGGTAAGTAAGGTAGTAAGTAAGTAAGTAGGTAGGTAAGTAGGTAAGGAAGTAGGTAAGTAGATAGGCAAGTAAGTAGGAAAGTAGGTAAGTAAGTAATTAAGTAGGTAAGTAAGTAAGTAGGTAGGTAAGTAGGTAAGGAAGTAGGTAGATAAGTAACTAGGTAAGTAAGTAAATAAGTAAGTAGGTAGGGATGGATGGATGGATAGATGGATGGTAACTAAATAAGTAAGTAGGTAGATAAGTAAGTAAGTAGGTAGATAAGTAAGTAGGTAGATAAGTAAGTAGGTAAGTAAGTAAATAAGTAAGTAGGTAGATAAGTATGTATGTAAGTAAATAAGTAAGTAGGTAGATAAGTATGTAAGTAGGTAAGTAAGTAAGTAGGTAGATAAGTAAGTAGGTAGATAAGCAAGTAGGTAAGTACTGTAAGTAAATAAGTAAGTAGGTAGATAAGTAAGTAGGCAAATAAGTAAGTAGGTAGATAAGTAAGTAGTAAGGTAAGTAAGTAAGTAAGTACGTAGATAAGTAAGAAGGTAAGTAAGTAAATAAGTAAGTAGGTAGATAAGTAAGTAAGTAAGTAGGTAGATAAGTAAGTAAGTAGGTAAGTAAGTAAGTAGGTAGATAAGTAAGTAGGTAAATAAGTAAATAAGTAGGTAGGTAGATAAGTAAGTAAGTAAGTAGGTAGGTAAGTAAGTAGGTAAATAAGTAAATAAGTAAGTAGGTAGATAAGTAAGTAAGTAGGTAAGTAAGTAGGTAGATAAGCAAGTAGGTAAGTAAGTAAATAAGTAAGTAGGTAGATAAGTATGTATGTAAGTAAATAAGTAAGTAGGTAGATAAGTATGTAAGTAGGTAAGTAAGTAAGTAGGTAGATAAGTAAGTAGGTAGATAAGCAAGTAGGTAAGTACTGTAAGTAAATAAGTAAGTAGGTAGATAAGTAAGTAGGCAAATAAGTAAGTAGGTAGATAAGTAAGTAGTAAGGTAAGTAAGTAAGTAAGTACGTAGATAAGTAAGAAGGTAAGTAAGTAAATAAGTAAGTAGGTAGATAAGTAAGTAAGTAAGTAGGTAGATAAGTAAGTAAGTAGGTAAGTAAGTAAGTAGGTAGATAAGTAAGTAGGTAAATAAGTAAATAAGTAGGTAGGTAGATAAGTAAGTAAGTAAGTAGGTAGGTAAGTAAGTAGGTAAATAAGTAAATAAGTAAGTAGGTAGATAAGTAAGTAAGTAGGTAAGTAAGTAGGTAGATAAGCAAGTAGGTAAGGAAGTAAATAAGTAAGTAGGTAGATTAGTAAGTAAGTAGGTAAGTAAGTAGGTAAGTTCGTCCCCAGTTCGTGCGTTGTGAATACACCTTCCACCAATAGTTATAGTACAATGAAAATGGTCGTCCGGTGCAAAAGCCGCTTATGTGACCATATGGAAACACACATATAACCTCTAAAAAAAAAAAAACCGTTTATCAGTTTTAATGGCACAGGCATTTGAAGGAAACTTTTACCCCCTCTACTTGAAGTTTGGTAATGCAATAAAGCACGCTGAGTATATGAATGGGACATTTGCGATGCATTGGACCAGCATCTGCATCAGTGTACTTGCGGTATAGAACGTTTCTGGCCTACAGCAGTCAGAGCATTTACTCAAACCCACACACAAACAAAAAAGCAAAAGTATTCACCATCCACTTTGTACTCTTGTCGACACACGCAGCAAATCCATTTGCTGTTTATGTCCTGCGGGACGACATTAATGACCAAACAAATGAGCCGAAAGCCAGTGGAGACACTGCCATTCAGTGTGTCTGAGATGAGAGCTGGAGGCAAAGGTGCCTACCTGCATCTCTCATCACAATAAAGACAGACAAGAGGAAAGGAGAGAATGAGAGCAGAAGGAGAGAGAGGAGGATGTCAACTCTTCCATCTTTGTCAAAAAATGCTTTTCTGGAAGATTCAGGCAAGCAAGACAATCACAGTTATTCACTAACTGAAATGTTTTATCACATTAATATATATAGTATATACACCACAGTTCAAAAGTTCAAGAGTTTTTTAATGATTTTGAATTTTTTATTTAACAAGGCTGCATTTATTTGATCAAAAATACGGAAAAAAATAATATTTTGAAATATCATTACAATTTAAAACAACTGTTTCCTATTGTAATTTAATTTATATATCCTATGATGGCAATGCAAATTTTTGTCTCACAAGATCCTACAGAAATCAGGCTAATATGCTTATTTGGTGCTCAAGAAACATTTCTTAATATTATCAATGTTTAAAATATGTGTAAAAATCATGATGCATTGTTAATTCAAGATTCTCAAATGAATAGAATGTTTAAAAGGAACAACATTTATATGAAACCAAAATCTTTTGTAACATTTTAAATGTCTTTACTGTCACTTTTGATTAGTTTAATGTCAAATTTCTGTATATAACTAATAATTAATTACATTGATTCTGCACAGAACCAGATATCCTTAAACATTTAGCTTTTTTCCTCTGAGTTATATCAAAATTTTAGATGGGCGCCAGAATAAACTACCATGTGACTAATACCATGTGATCATGTGACTGATAATGTAGTTACAGATTAGTAGTTCCAGAGACATCTGCCGAATGATAATACAAACTCAACCAACAACTGTGGAAACATTCTTCAACACAGCTTGATCTACAGAGTACATTACCACAAAAATAAAAACCTCCGCTCCATTCATTTGCATTATTCCCAAAATAAAAACCTCCTCTGCCAATTTGCATGTGCCCAGTGTGGCACGGAGCATCCATGAATTTACATGAATAAAAACGGAGACTGGCAGCAGCTCATCAAACAGATACAGAGCTTATTACTGCTCACACACCACAACAGCGAAACACACAGAGAAGTGTCAGAGAGGGGAAAACATTTCCTCTATTCATGCGATCAATTTCAAGATAAAAGAGAAAAATACTTTATCAAATACTTTCATACCACAATTCCATACATTATATGAAACAGAAATGAGAGAACAATTTCACATTTGAATCACAGCCTCAGAAACGAATGCCTTACTTGTCTGTCACTGTCTTTTTTATTTTTCCTGAAATTTGAATAAACTCTTACATTATATTACAAACTTACAAAATATATAAATGGACATTGAGTGATGGGTTTCAAAGTAAGAAACTAGAACTTTTTGGTACTGTTATTTATGTGGTTGCCTTGGCCACATCATGTGTAAAAGTAAGAAAGTAGGTAAGTAATTAAGTAAGTAAGTTGGTAAGTAGGTAAGTAAGGTGGTAAGTAAGTAAGTAAGTAAGTAGGTAAGTTAGGTGGTAAGTAAGTAAGTAAGTAAATAAGTAAGGTGGCAAGTACGTAGCTAAGTAAATGGGTAAGTAAGTAAATAAGTAAGTAAGTACTGTAGGTAAGTAATTAAGTAAGTAGGTAAGTAAGAAAGTAATTAAGTTGGTAAGTAGGTAAGTAAGTAAGTAACTAGGTAAGAAAGTAAGTAGGTAAGTAATGTGGTAAGTACGTAGCTAAGTAGGTAAGTAAGTAAATAAGTAAGTACTGTAGGTAAGTAAGTAAATAAGTAAGTAAGTAGGTAGTTAAGTGTAGTTAAGTAAGTAAGTAGGTAGGTAAGTGTAGTTAAGTAAGTAAGTAGGTAGGTAAGTAAGTAAGTAGGTAAGTAAGTAACTAAGTAAGTAAGAAGGTAAGTAAGTAAATAAGTAAGTAGGTAGTTAAGTGTAGTTAAGTAAGTAAGTAGGTAAGTAGGTAAGTAAGGTGGTAAGTACTGTAAGTAGCTAAGTAAGTAAGTAGGTAAGTAAGTAAATAAGTAAGTACTGTAGGTAAGTAGGTAGGTAAGTAGGTAAGTAGGTAGGTAAGTAAGTAAGTAGGTAGGTAAGTAAGTAGGTAAGTAGGTAAGTAAGTAGCTAACTAGGTAAGTAAGTAAGTAAGTAAGTAGGTAAGTAAACAAGTAAGTAAATAAGTAGGTAAGTAAGTAAGTAGGTAAGTAAGTAAGTAGGTAGGTAAGTAGGTAAGTAAGTAAGTAAGTAAGTAGGTCAGTAAGTAAGTAAGTAGGTAAGTAAGCAAGTAAGTAAGTAAGTAGGTAAGTAAGTAAGTAAGTAAGTAAGTAAGTAAGTAGGTAAGTAACTATATCCACACTAGCTCTTCACATCCTCATTTAAACGAAATGGCATCTTATGCAACTTCACCAACTTGTGTGGTTTATCTGTGGTCGGCAACTGTCCATGTCCAGCCGAAATATTTGATGACCTAAAACCTCAAAGTTTAATAATAACTGTTAGGCAGGAAGGAGAAATGATTTTATCTCACAGAATACAGAGAACTTAAATAAGCACTCTTATTAAAACTTGATTGAATCCCAGATGGACCTCAGGGGCTTCAGCTCAGGTGATGCGGTACTGTAAACGGCTTCGATGTTTAATGAGCTGTAAAAGTGTGTGTGTGCGTGTGTGTATCAGTAATGCTGATTGACAGAGGCACTGAAGAGAGGCGGGAGATAAACTTCATCCCTCTCTCAGGGAGAAGAGATGAGGTCACATGACCCGTGATAAGAGAAAACGTGATGCAAGTCTCCTATTCTGTGACTATGGCAACAAGTGTACATATTAATGACGATATACACACATAAGCTCTAGTGCTACAACGAAATAGTGAATCTGTGTCCTGCCGTACATATTGAAGTGAAATCATCTACTGAAATCTCAACGCTCAGAGTCGACCTTTCACACTAAGATCTGTTATGTCGTTTCCATTATTTCCGCTTGATGAGGATTTCAATAAGAAAAGCTGCTTCTAGATAAGCATTAAAAAGGTTGTTAAAAAAGAATAAGCATATGACATGAAATCTGACTTGAAACAGAATTTGTCTGAAATATTACAGTGCATATATTAATGCATTCAAATAAATAAATAAATATATATATATATATATATATATATATATATATATGAATAAATATATTTAAATAAACGTGTCAAATACAACAGGTAACTATTTTGTATTTATACATATTTATTTAGATACATATGTATATAAAATGTATAAAGTAATTATATAAAAATAGGACTGTGCAAAGATTAATTGTGATTAATCGCATCCCAGTTAAAAGTTTGTGTTTACATAATATATTTGTGTGTGCAGTGTATAATTATTTTAATTACACACACATGCATGTATATATTCAAAAAAAATTGTTATTCATATATAAAATATTTATATATAATATAGATTATGTATTTATATATAAAGTATTTATGTGCAAATAATTCTTAAATATATACATGCATGCATATGTATTTCTATATACAAAATAATTATACACAGCACACACATATATATTATGTAAACACAAACTTTTATTTTGGATGTGATTAATCCAAATTAATCTTTGCACAGCCCTAACAGTATATATTTGTTTATATATATATCATTTTAAAAATGCCAAAATGAAATGTAAATCATTTTATTTAAAAAATATGTTGAGACTGAAAAGACTGAGTATTAATATTAAATATTTAAATACATATTATTTATACATTTGTTTATACATTTATAATTAAATAAATAGATCCAAATTAATGTCACTGATATATATATATATATATATTTTTTTTTTTTTTTATTAATAAAATAATTAAATATATAATAATGATGTGCCAACAGTAAGCAAAGACATCATGTCCAAAACACATTAGGGCCACAGGGAAACCACACACTAAAACAACAACCTTAATCTGACAACAAAGAACTTTCACAAAACAAAGACCCAGATTAATCTCCGGGCAGAGGGCTCATACTAATCACTGAATAAATATGATTTCAACCCTCACTTATGAATGTAGAAACACAATCATACACTATATGCAGTGCAAGAATACATAAAGTCCCTCACCTTAAGCTGACTTGTCCAGTCCTAAAGTTTGGGACGTCCACCTTGGGTTTGTCCATGGCTCCTCCCTTTACAGTCGTTGCATGACCGACGCCCTGTCAACACAAAAATACACGTATGGTGACTTCAGTTTCTCTAGAGGATCCAAAACGACGACACCAAGCTTTAATGTTCCCTCCTGAGCAGGACGCCAAAGTGAATAAAAAGTTTGTCATTGAAAAACCCCAATTGCGTCCTTTCCATCTATCTCTGTCGGTATGATCTCATCCACTGTTTTCCTTTCACTTTTTTCAAGCGATTAACATCTAATCTGGTGTCAGTGATCAAAATAGATAAAATGCAAATGAATAGAAAACATACACAAAGACAAGGAAAACAAAATGATGCACCATTAAAGGGAGTGTCCACTTTCCTCACTGTGGAGCCGTAGCTAATGGTGGTCCAGAACGCACCCTGTACTCAACTCAAGGCACACACACACACACACACACAAACACACATGGGACCCCCCTCCTCACAGGATGCATCAAACACACAAAAAGTGACCTAGATTATCTGAGGAGAGAGCGATTATCCCCCCGCTAGGCCACATGCTCCTGAGGGCCACAGGGGCAGCACAAGCAGTGGGCCTATTGTTAATGTGCATCTCTCATCTTTATTGAGTGCACACTGTTCACATGAGGACGGCAACAGAGATATCGAGAGTTTAATGGAGAGACGGTTGGTTGACATAACCTTCCTGAAAAGGGAAAGCAGAAACATTAAAAAAAATGTTGACCAATGGTGATAAAATAAAAAAAAAATGTTTCTCTTGAGCACCAAATCAGCCAATTTTTGAAGGATCACGTGACTGGTTATTCTATTGGATGATTAAAACAGAATATCAGTTATAGTTATCATCAACTCTGTATCAGTGGTTGTAACAGCAAAAATATTGGTTCTTGTAACTGATTAGCTGGAAAATATTTGTTTTTTTATTATCAAGTGATCAGTAGCAACTGATTATGCAACCTCAAACTTTATAAACATCAATAGATCAATTTTTTACAGACAAAAATGTATAATATAATCTTGATTATACAAAGCTGAAAGTAAATAGAAAAGGCTAATAGTGTGCATAGGCAAACACTTGAAAATCTCTAATATGTATATATACATATATATATATATATATATATATATATATATATATTACCGTATATATATATATATATATATATATATGACCGTATTCTGGACAAATGTGGGCAAAATAGTTTTGATTTATTTTTTAAAATACTTCCCTTGAGCTGAGCGGTACAAGACTTGGCTACTTTTCCTAAGTTTGCCTCCTGAACACACATTTTTTTGACTCAATTCTACAATGTCAAGTGGGTGGAAAAAAAACCTCCATAATCTTGTATTTGGGTCAAAAATGGGCTCCCATAGAAATGAAGGGGAAAAACTGTCATTTAGAGCATTCTAAAATAAGCCAAAATAAGACCGCAAAGTCACTTCATCTTTAGGTTTTAGCTCTAAGAACTTATTGGAATGATATTTGAATGTAGTTAAAAAAAATTGAAAAATAAAACATACAAAAATAAGCATAATTTACATAGAAAATATGGTACTTTTTGAAGGAAATGCATTCAAAAATAAGAAAAAAACAAAAAATGGATAGACAAAACTTTATCGAAGACAGTGATATAACATTTATAATAAATAAAAATTAGGATCACACCTAAGCCCTCTGTGCCCACATTTGTCCACAATTACAGGATTAAGGGCTATAAAGTGAATATGGTTTGAGGGCTACATAAGTATATATAAAAGCCACATTTAAAAACATTAGAGGGCAGCCAGGTGAAACTATTTGCCTTAAATGGACTTTGAATAAGTCTCAAAACTGTTCAGATTATTTAAAAAACAAAACAAAACAAAAAAAACACTTATATTCCTGAAACTAAATAGAACAACAAGGAAAAAAACTGACTGTAATATGTCGATTCTTCTGATATGTTTACGACCTAAATAGGCTTGAAGTAAACACAGTAAAACATTCATGGTCAGAAGCATCAGTCGAGGAAGCAGAGTCTATATTAAATACTGTATGTGTGTCCTTGGCTCTCGGGGTGCGCAGTCTGTTTGTGTTTACATAAGACTTATGAGCAGTGGGTACTGGGTAAACCCTTGGGAATACAGTGATTGAATAAATGTCAAAGCCTAATGAGAAAGTTTGTAAGAGATTGTGTGGGGATCTGCATCACAAATGTGTTTCTCTACGACCTCATCTCATCCATCCATCCATCTAGAGCTGACTGAGATATTAACAGCAATGCCTGATCATCAATCTGCTCTTCATAATAACTTAGCATTTATATACAATGAGACTAACAAAAACTAATAAATGAATATCATGCTTTTATTAATACCATGGTATTTTTTTAAAGTACCTTGGTGTACCATACTAAATACCATGGTATTCGAGTCAACCAACTAAAAGAAATAAACAAACCAAAAACTTAATAAATTAATGGGCAATAAATGAAAACAAGCAAATAAATGACCAAAGTAATGGCTCGTTTCTACTGAGCGTTACAGTTTGCGTTACCACTGTCAAAAGTTGTGAATTGTACCCAGGCCAGTTGACAGTCTTGCCTGGGCCCGGGACAAGATAATCTTATCTCTTCCCCTTGCTCTTCCTCCTGTTCCCCTCCTCTGCTCTTCCATCTTCAAAAGACTTTCATTTTTTTTTTTTTTATAAAACACGAATAAAAACACGTTTAAATGGGTAATTTTATTTTCTGACATAGCCAACTGCAGCTCTTGTTAAAACACACTAGATATGCAAAATCTGTGCATTTTGTGCACTTTTTGTGTGAAATCATATTTATTTTTTGTGCATCAAAAGTGTGCTTTCACTTTTAATTAAGCATGAATAGTGCAGCAAAAATAGACTCTGATCTGGCCCATTATCTGCTCACCGATGCCTACAGTGACGCATTTCAGCCGGCTTTTTATTTGTCATCTCCATAAATATATCTAGTAATAAAGCTAATGCAAGGACTAGGAATCAATGAATTCTTTCAGTTCGCAACGCTTTCTCCTTTCCAGAAGCGGTGCTCTACCGTGGTATCTGTCGTTGCTATGCAACAATGAACTTGCGCGCCTCTAAAAACGGGTGCGCCGCGTCGCTTTAATGAGCTAATATCCAAAATATTTCCATATGTAGTGCGCCGAGTCGCTTTTATGAGCTAATATCCAAAATATTTCCATATGTGGCTCTTTCCTCCTTTCTTATCAACAAGTGGATTGGTGGAAACGCAAGTCAGATCATGGTTTACCGACCGGAACCGTACTGTACCGTACCGTTCCACTCAGTGGAAACGAACCACAAATGAATGAACGGAAGGAAGGAAGGAAGGAAGGAAGGAAGGAAGGCGGAAGGAAGGAAGGAAGGAAAGTGGAAGGAAGGCGGAAGGAAGGAGAGGAAGGCGGAAGGAAGGAAGGTGGAAGGAAGGAAGGCGGAAAGGCGGAAGAAAGGAAGGAAGGAAGGCTGAAGAAAGGAAGGAAGGAAGGCAGAAGAAAGGAAGGAAGGAAGGCAGAAGGAAAGAAAGCGGAAGGAAGGAAGGCGGAAGGAAGGAAGGGAGGAAGGAAGGAAGGCGGAAGAAAGGCGGAAGGAAGGAAGGAAGGTGGAAGGAAGGAAGGAAGGCGGAAGGAAGGAAGGCGGAAGAAAGGCGGAAGGAAGGAAGGAAGGTGGAAGGAAGGAAGGAAGGCGGAAGGAAGGAAGGAAGGCGGAAAGGCGGAAGAAAGGAAGGAAGGAAGGCTGAAGAAAGGAAGGAAGGAAGGCGGAAGAAAGGAAGGAAGGAAGGCAGAAGGAAAGAAAGCGGAAGGAAGGAAGGAAGGAAGGAAGGAAGGAAGGAAGGAAGGAGGAAGGAAGGAAGGGAGGAAGGAAGGCGGAAGAAAGGCGGAAGGAAGGAATGGCGGAAGGAAGGGAGGGAGGAAGGAAGGCGGAAGAAAGGCGGAAGGAAGGAATGGCGGAAGGAAGGAAGGAAGGAAGGAAGGAAGGAACTAACCAATTAATCAAATGGATGAATAAATGAACAAACAAAATAAATAACAATGTTCTTTCCTTGTTTGTTTCTTTCTTCCTCACAAACCAACAAACAAATAACAGAATAACAGAACAAAACCTAAATGAAAAGATTAAAAACAGCCACTTGAATGACAGATTCTTCAGAGTGTCACCAGATCACAGCATTGTATGAGAATCAATTAAAGGTCCCAGGTGTTTATGAGTGCACTGGCCATTTTTCACATCCCATGTCCATGTTCAGCCTCCTCAACACTTCTGATAATCATCTTGTCTTCAGTCTGAAACATGACTGACAAAACCAAGCAGAGAATCCCCGCCCCGTCTCATAATTCCTCAGTTCTCCTGTACACACAGCAGAGATGTGAGCAGAGCACAGCCCAGCACAGACAAACTCCTCAAATCATTTAAAGGTGTGCATGCTTCAGTGGCATTGACCGCCAGCTGTGAGCTCGAGCTCCTGGGACGGATGATAAGGGTCTGGGGGAGCTTCAGGGTTCCCCATCTCTGCTGTAAAGTGAACGTGGAGCCCAGAGTTCCTCCAGGGACTTTTCAAAAATGACTTCCATTAGATCAGAAACTGCAGTGTGTATGTGATTTACACCAGTAGGACATTCTGTTCCTGGATCAGATGGTCTTGGAACAACATTCCTCTTCAGCAATCATTAAAGTTAGGACCTTACTCCTAAAATAAATAAGGTTCATACGGGTATTACTCAAGATTCAAAACATAATCCTAAAATCTGATCAGGTCTGGTTAAGAACAGATGCTCTTCCAGGAACATGTTTTACTCTGTTTGGTTTGATTTTACACAAGCACAACGTGCTCCTGAATCAACAACATTGAGCCTGGAACAACAGTGCTATAAACCCATGGAGATTTCCCTTAGATTTCAGGGATATGATCTGGAATAACACTCCTAATTACCAAGCATTGTGCCCTGATTTTAGAGAAATGCCTTTTTTAAAACAGACTACAAAACAACAACAGGTGCCAAAAGCTTGTCAGTGTTTGCTTTCACTTTTTAGGGAATAACTGACTGCAGTTTGAGACTCATTCACAGACATAACAAAGTTTGCAAATTGTGTGTGATATCCACGGGCTCGTCTTTTAGGTGAAATATTTCTATGCAACGTGAGATTTTTCTTCATCGCCAATTCCAACTTTGCTCGCAAAATGGTCAACCCGCCATAAAACGAAGTAAATAAGTAAATTAATGATCAAATAAGTACACTATTGCAAAATGTTTTAGTTTTTTAAATATTCAAATAGAAAGCAGTTGTTTTAAACTGTAATAATATTTCACAATAATGCGGTTTTACAGTATTATTGATCAAATAAATGCAAATAAATGGTAGTGTACATTTTAAGATACAGTTTGAAACTGACGCATCCACCTTATTTTGCAATGCGGACGCAAGGTTTTCTTGTGAATGTGTGAGATATCTGATTCATTAGGGAAATTACAAGAAGAAAGCGCAGTAAACGGTAAAACCGCTACAAACCAGCATGTTTATAATTGTGACAATAAATTAAAATAGTAAGAAATAATAGCCGTTTGGGTAACACTTTACTTGAAGGGGTGTGCATAAGACTGACATGACATACGTCTTGAATATGAAGGAAGTTTTATGCATGTTTATGACAAGTGTCATTAAGTGACTTTCGCTCAATAATGACATTTTGAATGCAAATATGACATTGTTTAAGATGTCTTTGTCATGACAACATGACAAAAAATGAAGTTAAACTGGCATGTGGTTGGCTTTGACATTGGCTGTCATGAGGCATTATAACTGTCATGAATATTTTTCGTGACCTCAACTACAGTGGTACTAATTGAATTTGTCATTAAAAAGTTATAATGGCCTTATGACAGCCAATGTCAAAACCAACAACCGGACAGTTTATTGTAATGTTAACCAATAAAGCTAGGTGGTTTCTTAAGTTTGATCATTAATCTGCTATGTAATGTTTATGACAGGTTGTGTTGTCTTAGTAATGTCAAGTTGTCATGACAAAGATACTGACAGGTTATGATGTATTGGTTTATGTCAAAAACATCTTAAACAATGTCATATTTGCATTCAAAATGTCATAACTAAGCGAAAGTCACACACAAACATGCATAAACCCTACTTCATTTGTCATGGTTATGAAGGTGTCATGTTAGTCTTATGCACACCCCTTCAAGTAAAGTGTTACCGTAGTTTGCAATATCAAGGAGCATAGCAAGATGTTTTGTGCAGCTAAACTGAAATTAAAGTTAATGACACAGGAAAAAAACTAAGATATTATGACAGTTAATTCAAACAAAGGCAAATTTTCAGACTTTTCAGGTCCAATCAAGAGTTTTTGGTCAATCAATCACAAGAAAAATCATTCTTATCATTGTGTTGAGATGGCCTCTGACTGCAGGAGCTGGTAGGAATGTTGATCCAGGAACATGTTTACATGTATGTAAATCGCATTATGAATCTGTGGGAATCTGAAACTAATGTCGCCAAGAGTGCTGAAAAAGTTCTCCAGGAGGAAGTGGAATCTGCAACGGTGGCACTGACAGAAGCAGATATTCATTTGAGTGTAAAGAGAACACACATATTTATGAATCCTCTCCGTCTCAAAAGTGCTGTGGTTGATGCATTAGTGCGCCCTCACCCTGTCATTGAGGAGCGCACTGCAATGATTACTGTCACTCCGAGCAATCTGGGACAGATGTGTGCGAGTGTTTGCGCGAGCTATAATTTTGCAGACCTTATGAATCCCTAACAATAGCCGCACACTTTCTTTTCCCGTTTGATGCTAATATTTTAGAGACATTGGACAGTTTTATGTATGTAGTCCTGATACACTCAGCAGTTTCCTGAGAGACTGAAAGTGGTATAATTTAGGAAAATGTCACACTCAGAATTAAAAATATACTGCGTTGGCTTTCTGTGCGAGTCTGAAGCACTGAGAGTACATACAGAACAATCCTAAACGCGGTTCACTCATTCTGAAACTGCTTTTGACGTTTTAAAAAATTATAATAATTAACTATGCTCACCAAGGCTGCCTTTATTTGATGAAAAAACAGTAAAAAAAGGAAATATTGTGAAAAAAAAAATATTTTCAAGATTTGTTATCACATTTTTTCTTTTGTCAAATCAACTTAAATAATTTATTTAGTTCAGATAACTTATTATTTTGAGTTTCTGATGATTAAATCAATAACTCACTTTTTCCAGTTCAATCAACTCAAAATTAAGGCAACCAGGTTACTTTTTAAACCAACAATTTTTTTTTACAGTGAAATAACTGTTTTACATTTTAAAATGTAATTTATTCCTGTGATGGCAAAGCATCATTATTCCAGTCTTCAGTGTCACATGATCCTTCAGAAATCACTCTAATATGCTGATTTTCTGCTCAAGAAACATTTATTATTATTATCATCAGTGTATATTTTCAGGATTCTTTGATGCATTTATTTGAAATAAAATCATTTGTAACATAATAAATATCACATAAGTACTTTGAATTATTCATTTCTTTCAGATAAAAAAGTGTGCTGTTTGAAAAGCAAATACTGCTATAAATGTGAGAGCAAAAAGAGCTGGTTAATAGATGACCTCAAAGGAAGGGAATGAAAGAGAGATATATAAAAGCTTTGCTGTTGAAAACAATGTTGAATGGTTGCGGAGCTAAAAGGATCAAACTTGACCATGAATGTTGACTCTGACATTGAAATTCCTGCAAACAAGGACAGGTTAAATGCATAAGACCACCAGCACTACAAAAAGAAAAGTAGTCTTGCATTGTGTCCTCCAGAAGCACAATACAAATTTGGCCTTGATTTTCCAAGATTACGCTTTCCCAGACACTCCTATCGGACTTGAGTAGGTGATGTGTGTTTACTCACGGTTGACTGGGGTCTGCTGTTGTCCTCACTGTCCAATGAAACGACATCCAGGTGCGAGGCGAGGGCGGGGTCACTGCTGCTTCGCACGGACAGAGGGGTGGCTGATGGGAAAAGACAGAGAATATTGTTAGAAATCTAAAATAGAGCTGCATTTGCAAATCTAGGGTCATTGTAGAACAATAACAGTCCTAGACCTTAAAAAAAGCACTGTGGCGATACCAGGGTACATTACAGTATCATTTATATTATCGACTTTATAATATACATTTTTATTCGATTTTATTTTTAGATTTTATTTTAGTTAAAATCTTAGCAATTTTGTTGTTTTATCATTTTTTTAGTAGTTCACTTTAAAAAAAAATAAAAATAAAATAAAAAAAACTTTTGCTGATAATTTACTCACCCCCATGTTATTCAAGATGTCCATGTCTTTCTTTCTTCAGTCAAAAAGAAATTAAGGTTTTTGATGAAAACATTCCAGGATTTTCTCCATATAATGGACTTCAATGGGCACCAAACGGTCCAAAAGACAGTTTTTAGTGCAAACTGAATTTGAGCTTATATATAACTTTTTTTTTTTTTTTAAATGAGCGATCGTTTCACTTGATAAGACCCTTATTCATCGTCTGGAATCGTTTAAGGACCTTTGAACAGTTTGCAGTTTGCACTGAAACTGTATTTTGGACCTTGAACCGTTTGGTTCCCATTGAAGTCCATTATATGGAGAAAAATCTGTAATGTTAATAATGTTAAACCTTAATTTCTTGGATGACATGGGGGTGAGTAAATTATCAGCAAAAGTTTTTTAAAAAAAAAAGTGAACTACTACAATACATACCAGGATTGTTTCAAAGCAGCTTTACAGAAAGTGCATTTCAGAAATGTACAAAGAAAAATACAGTTAGTTAATCATGTATTAATTTAGGGCATAACATATCGCCGGCGTTGAGTCGTCTCTTCGTATATTATATTTTTATTAAGATTTTAGTTTTTTATTAATTTAATTTTTAGTTACTTTAGTACTTCAACTTTATATAAAACTATTGCCTTGGCAGCTGAAATAAAATATGTTTAATAAGTTCAATATTTTCTATTTATTTCAGTTAATGTTTATTTATTTTAAGTAATGAAAATGTGTTTTTTTATTGCAGTTTTTATGTACTTTCATTGTCCTGGTAAGTCATAGTTAAAGACAGTCAGAGATAGGACCATGAAATGAAGATAATACACGTTTATTATTTTCTTGACTCAATTTTAAAAATTAATGTGTATAATTCATAAGAATAGTTATTAAAAAGTGAAGCAATATATGACCATTTTGAGCCAGTTCCCATTTTGTGTCAGTTTTATTTACTTTATGTATAGATTTACCTTTCTATTTAGTTATGCATGCACTTATTTTCTTCTTTGTGCATTCATTCGTTGTATAAAATAAGTATTTTTTGTCTCATTTCCCATTATTCAGTTTTATTTAGTTCAGACAGAAAAGCACAGATCAAACACTAGTTGATCATTACCTAGAGTGTTTTCTGTTCTTTTCAGACACACATTGGATCAAATAAACACAATTAAAATCACACTAAACTCACCACATGAAAGCACAACAATAAAGTCTCACGCAACACAAACAGAAAGACATCTGAGTGAGTCAAAGCAGCTTTCCGTACACACACTCATCAGTCCAGAGAAACGTCTCCCATCGCACGCGTTTGTCTGGTTTCCATAACAGGGACAACTGCCAAACGCTGGAGCCATCGCTAGACTCAGCAGAAACGGCTACGGGAACAGGATGCTAGATCCATCAAAAACAGCTCTGTCTTTTACAGGAACAGAATAAAACTCTATGGAAAAATGCAGTGAGGGAGTTTTATATCCAACAGAACGTCCTTGGCCTCCATTCTGAAGAGGTTCTCCAAGACCTTCATTGATAAGGCCGGAGACACTGAGACATCTCAAGGATCTGAAGTACACAAATGTGTTGAACGTTGGCAAGGTCAAAATACTTAAACATTACTGCTGAAGAAAAGAGCTAAGTCGTGGGAAATAGTGTTTTCTACACGGAAAACAGCTTTCACTCGTACCATATACTAACATGAAAAATATGAGAGATACACTAAGCTGGAAAAAGACTAATTCAGAAACAGTAACCTCATTAATGAGCACATTAGCATACAAGCATCTACATTTACATAACAACGGGTTAGCAGTCTTGAGCAATTTCACCCACACTAATGAATGACAGTTGGTTAACCATTCACACTGCATGCCATTCGTCTATATTTGCACACGTGTGCAAAGAAAAAGTTACACAGATTCACTCATAAACGATTTTCGCTTCGGTCCTTCGTTTACATAGTTAAATTCAGTTAGTTTGTGCCAGATAAATACTGCTCTACTTGTAAAAACATGTATCTTCTGTTACATAAGTAAAAAGGTATTGCCTCACTCAAATGTTGTTACATAAATTAAGCGCTTAGGTAATATACATACATAAACACAGGTGCCATGTGCATTGGATGTCTACGCTTTGGCAAAAGTGTCGTATATAACGCCTTGTGATGAGAATGCGTAATATATACACATTCAAGAATATGATATATATAAATTCTAACCTAAAAACTAATAACTGCACTACAAGCTCTTCATTTATGTCTGTGTGTGTGTGTGTGTGTGCATGATAAACAAGTTTATGGTCACTGAGATTAGATTTATATATATATATATATATATATATATATATATATATATATATATATATATATATATATATACTGTATATATATTTATTTTAGGGCTGTCAAATGATTAATCACGATTAATCGCATCCAAAATAAAAGTTTGTGTTTACATAATATATGTGGGTGCACTGTGTATAATTGTTTATATATATATATATATATATATATATATATATATATATATACTGTATATATATATATATATATATATATATATATATATATATATATAATATATATATATATACACACATTCTTGCATATATTTAAGAATTATTTTCATGTATTTATTTGTTTATAGATTTCTATATAATTTATATTATATATAAATATAAATATGTGATATATAAATATTTTTTTCTTAAATATTCATGCATGTGTGTGTGTGTGTATATATATATACTGTATATATATTATACACAGTGCACCCACATATATTATGTAAACACAAACTTTTATTTTGGATGCGATTAATTGTGATTAATCATTTGACAGCCCTAATATATATATATATATAAATGAATAATTTTTCTCAGAAAGGATGCATCAGAGACTGATCAATGGTGACAGTAAAGACAGTTACAGTACAATGTTACAAACTATTTTAAATAAATGCTGTTCTTTTGAATATATATATATTTACTTTTTTTCAACAATATGCAATAAGACCTTCTTGAACAGCAAATAAGCATATTATAATGATTTCTTGCATCATATTACATTTTAAGATATATAAATTGTAATAATATTTTACAATATTTCTCTTTTGATCAGCTGTAATGAGCTTACTGACTAACCTTTGAACGAGCGTACAGCATACACACTCTTATGAGTGGCTTTTAGCTGGTCAAAGTAGTTTTAAAGTAGCTTCCTAAAGACCTAAAATCTTGCATGTGGTGACAGAATAGAAAACTGAGAACTTACAGCCACAATCAACAGAAAGAGAGAATCTGACCCTCAAAAAAGATCAACATCAAAAAAGAACAAGAGAACAAAAAAACTCAAGCACAGAGCTTGAAAAAGTTGCCATTTTCCCTGGTCAAACAGACATCAGCAAAGACTGCTCATATCTTCAGGCTGTTAGAAATAATCAAAAAGGCCTTTCAGTATGATCACACCAGCACAGAAACTCTGATTCAGTGTTCTGGCAGTCATTAACACAGACTCTTTGACTCAGCCATTTTAATAAGGTACTGGAACCAGAAGCAAGCTATAACAGCTATAAACGCGTCTGCTTTAGAAGCCACTTCATTAAGAAAACCGTTGATATTGTAATATTTCAACTCATCAGGGCCATCTTCAAATGCACCACTGAACTATTGAACTGCACTTCTCTGTATTTCAATGGCAATGTGCATATGAGACAGATAAGGCCAATGAAAGAGACCTAGACAGAAACCCAGACTCGTTCGAGGCCTGTTTTACCTCAGCGCTTCAAAAGTTTAGATAAATGTGCAAGTATCATTTGTGCTTGAGTCCAAAAACAAAAAAAAATCTGAGTGGGCATGCTGACAGATGGTGTAGATATTTTAATTTAAGAGATTTGATTGCTTCCTGTGTGTGTGTATGCCACCTTATATACACCAAAAGACCTCCAACTTGCAGGTTGTCCACAAACTACACCCTGATGACTCTCAGACCTTCGAGTTGTTTACAAATTCTTATAGAGGAGTTACATCTGTGCAGCGTCTAGGTGAAGAGTCGCTCCCAAATCCATCAGACCTGCAGAACCTGGTGGAGCTCGGCACTATTTCCACCAGCCTCAAGGTTAATCGTCAAAAGAAACGCTTGTGCAATCTAATTTTAGGCGTTAATTTCGATTTTACGCCCATTGAAATAACAGAAGTAAGAATGTGTGGGAAATCTGTAAAGACCACAGCGATTTAAGGTAAAACCTTTAATTATTGTCTATTCTGACACAGGAGTGGAACAGCCCTTCTAGTGGTTTCATCCTCCAGGAAAAGTCCAACATTCAGATGGATGTGCTACGAATATAAGTCTTTTCAGCTGAATAAATAAGAGGCAATCCCACCAATCATACCAAAATTGAAATAAATTTTTGGTATGTTTTAGCTTACCTCAAGGGCATCCAAGATGTAGGTGTCTTTGTTTCCGCAGTAGTTTCAATTTTGATATATTTTTAGGTCAAACCGTTGTCTGTCAGTCATAATGGAGGTCTATGGTCACCACTTCACAGAGAAGTCCAAATTAAACGTGATTTAATGACTCGTAAATGTACAGTAAGTACACATCGATGGCCTAAGACACGAAACGAGCGGTTTGTGTAAGAAAGCGGACAGTATTTATATCGTTTTTACCTCTTGAACCACAGCCACGTCCAAGTGATCTGAGGACATGGGTGC